AACAAGGACTGGTCGGCTCGGAGTCAGTATACTGTGTCTGAGTGGGATATTCATGTTAAACTGCGGCATGGTATCTCAGTAAGCTAGCACTATAAATCGGCATCAGCCCGGACTAGTACAAGCAGCCACACACACAAACACACACACGTGCATGCACGTCGCTATATAAGTGCGATCATCTTGGACGCGACGTTAAACCCCATTTTCACCTCACCTCACCTCACCTCACCGAACACAGCCACTCCTCCAACTACACTTAACAATGACACATTGCACTTGGGGAAGGCCTTACCTTACATGCAGCATATGAACCATGGATGGATGTTCAATGTGACTGCATATCTGTGATGTGTCAAAAACAGGTGCACCACTTATTGGTTGTTTGTTTGTTGTTTAACGCCGCACTCAGCAATATTCCAGCAATATGACGGCGGCCTGTAAATAATCGAGTCTGGACCAGACAATCCAGTGATTGATATCATGAGCATCGACCCATGCAATTGGGATTGATGATATGTATCAACCAAGTCAGCGAGTCTGACCACCCGATCCCGTTAGTTGCCTTTTACGACAAGTATAGTCGCCTTGTCAACGTGTTAGTCAAAATTAGGTTGCAGCGTGTCACATAAAAAATCATGACATGCATATTTGTAGCCGCAATGCAAGTTAAACATGTAGAATGCATTAAGTTATGCATGTGGTTGTAGTGTGAATCTCACCTCTGTGAGTGTCAGCCATCAGCCGAGTGTCAGAAATACATGCATGCTGTGGGATACGCTTCATGTTGGATGCAGCACACAGCATCCCCGAGTGTACACTCATCATCCATTAACACCACTTAGCATCAACAACCACTGATGAATGCATCAATTACAGACATCAGTCTGGGAATGTCATCTGCATGTGTGACGATTACACTACCAAAGCTATCAGTCAGCCTGGTGAACATTTGTATCAGAACAATTCCCGACTTTCCCGACTAGATTTAACATATCCAACAGATTTTAGTAACAATTGTTCAATTTTTTATGTGGTTGTCGTTTGTTTGTTTTATGTTAATTTGTGTTTGGTGAATTATTAGTGCTTTCAAGTTATTCATTGAAAATGCACACCTGTAAAAGCCTTCTAAAAGCATGAGTCATGATGACTCACCATATATTTTAGAGGGGATCATTTTCTAAATTTGGGAGTCACGATTTTTTTACATTAATACAATTTAGCACGTTGAGTTCTTACATTTTATTCTGAAAGTTTGTTGATTTGTTTTAATTTCAACAGCTGGTGGAGTAGCAGTGTGTATTTAAAACAAATATTGTTAATACTCAGTCTGAAATAACATTGGGATAGCCAATTTATTGCATCAGCTATTACTCACAAATAAAAGGTTTTGTGAACATTTCAGGGAATTGTTGCGTCAAATAGGCAGGAATTACATGTCTTGTTAACCCTGGTCTTCATCTCACCAACATCATTTGAATATAAAACTTTGATTTAACATATACTCAAGGTACCAGGAACTTATCTTAACTTACCATTATCATTTTAACCCCAAGGCATTTTGAATCCTGAAATTCATGGGGTACAACTACCAGACACATCCACACAATGTGCAACTACTTGACACATCCACACAATGTGCAACTACTAGACACATCCACACAATGTGCAACTACTAGACACATCTATACAATGTACAACTACTAGACACATCTATACACTATACAGTGTACACCTACTAGACACATCTATACAATGTGCAACTACTAGACACATCCACACAATTTGCAACTAACTAGACACATCTATACAATGTACACCTACTAGACACATCTATGCAATGTGCAACTACCAGACACATCTATACACTATACAATGTACAACTACTAGACACATCTATACAATGTGCAACTACTAGACACATCCACACAATGTGCAATTACTAGACACATCTATAAAATGTAGAACTACCAGACACATCTATACAATGTACAACTATTAGACACATCCATACAATGTACAACTACTAGACACATCTATACAATGTGCAACTACTAGACACATCTATACAATGTACAACTACTAGACACATCTATACAATGTGCAATTACTAGACACATCTATACAATGTACAACTACTAGACACATCTATACAATGTACAACTACTAGACACATCCATACAATGTACAACTACTAGACACATCTATACAATGTACAACTACTAGACACATCTATACAATGTACAACTACTAGACACGTCCATACAATGTACAACTATTAGACACATCCATACAATGTACAACTACTAGACACATCTATAAAATGTTGAACTACCAGACACATCTAAAGAATGTGCATCTACTAGAAACATCTATACAATGTACAGCTACTAGACACATCTGAAGAATGTACAACTACTAGACACATCTATAAAATGTAGAACTACCAGACACATCTATACAATGTACAACTATTAGACACAGCCATACAATGTACAACTACTAGACACATCTATACAATGTACAACTACTAGACACATCTATACAATGTACAGCTACTAGACACATCTATACAATGTACAACTACTAGACACATCTGAAGAATGTACAACTACTAGACACATCTATAAAATGTAGAACTACCAGACACATCTATACAATGTACAACTACTAGACACATCCATACAATGTACAACTACTTGACACATCTATACAATGTACAACTACTAGACACATCTATAAAATGTACAACTACCAGAAACATCTATACAATGTACAACTATTAGACACATCCATACAATGTACAACTACTAGACACATCCATACAATGTACAACTACTAGACACGTCCATACAATGTACAACTACCAGACACATCTTTACAATGTACAACTACTAGACACGTCTATACAATGTACAACTACCAGACACATCTATACAATGTACAACTACTAGACACATCTATACAATGTACAACTACTAGACACGTCCATACAATGTACAACTACTAGACACATCTATACAATGTACAACTACTAGACACATCTATACAATGTACAACCACTAGTCACATTTATACAATGGACAACTACTGAACACATCCATAGGTATGTGGTGAATTGTTTGGATTAAAAAAATTCTGTTTGTTGTCCTTATTTTTATTCATCAGTCCTAGATGAATTCCTAGACGCTCGCTGAAAGATTTGCAGATTAATGGGATTTTTTGCAGAATTGCAGAAAATTGCAGAATTTGCCAATTTTTTTCGTCAACCAATACACTATTTTGCATTATATTCAAGATTTACTATCGAATGTTGTACTGGAACTATGCCCAAACATTTCACATGCGATTCAAACATAAAAAAATCAATCCTACAATAAAATGAAATTGGAATGAATACTTCTTACATTTAAACCTTCTTGATATATTATGACTCCATAAAATTGACATGTTAAACCCAACCTGAAATGTTCAAATGCATGACATTTGTAAAGGAAAACCTGAGTTAGGTAGAATAAATTGTTTAGAAGGAAATGGTTATCTCTTTCCGCTGTATTTTGATAACTTGACCACAGAAATCATCTGGGACTGATATACATACATTAATTTGAATACATTTACATGTTATTTGGTTCATTAACATGTCATTTACACAAATACCTCGTGAAAATGCTGGTTAGAATTGGTGTTTCTCAACCCATGCTTGTTGCTAGAGGCAAGACACAGCAACGGGTGGTCAGACTCTCTGACATGGTCAAACCCAAATTCTGTAGATCAATGCTCATGATGTCAATCACTGGATTGTCTGGTCCAGACTCAAATTTTTTACAGACCACTGTTATTGCTGGAATATTGCTGAGTGCGGCAGCCAAAACAAACATGTACAAAAATGTAGCTGCGAAGTTTTCTTTATATCAGATTTTTTAACATTTCCATACGGGCGTGTTTTGAATATGTAAAAGATATTGCTTGATGGACATATGGGTATAAAAAACCCATTACATTTTGCACACTTCTCAGTACCCATTGAAGGCATACAACCCATACACATGCACAAACAAAGTAAAGATTACGGTGTTATTAGACTTATACTGATTGGTAAGGAAGCTAGAGGAATTTGTTTGAGAACCAAAAAAATCATTTTCAAGATTTGGGAGTTTTCTTAATGATTCTCAGTGTAGTTCATCTTTAGAAATAATCTTTCATGATAACATATATTATTTTATCCAAAGGATAACATTGTATTAATACCTTCTATTTTATTCCAAAATAAACATATTACTAGTTATTAAATTAGATATATGAACATTACTCTCTCTCTCATGTCCAAGTGATCATTCATTACATCATTCCCAATGCGCTTTAGCCCTAAAGGACGGAAAATGACAAGTTATTAATTTACAATAAGGCAAAACTGACAAATAATATTTTCAACCAGGATTCTGAAAAAGTAATTTGTTTAAGAAAGTAATTAGCTTTACCAAATCTCTCTTTCCCTCTCTCTGAAACGATCAACATACTCTGTTTTTTATTTTAGTTTATCTGTCAACTGACAAATATTTTCAGCTGGGATTCTGAAAAAGAAATTGGTTTAGGAAAGCAATTGGTTTTACCAAATCGCTCTCTCTCTCTCTCTCAATCTCTCTCTCTCTCTCTCTCTCTGAAACGATTAATATACTGTTTGTTAATTTTAGTTTATCTGTCAACTGTCGCTGTATATGTACTGTTTGTTTGTGAATGTGTCACTTCTCCACTCTTTATTTTCCCATCTCTTTAATTATAACCACACGTTACACTAACGATCGCCGTGAGCCCCGTCCAAGGTAGCGCGCCCCACACGCTGTGTGATTGCTGCGTTACTCCTACTGCTATCGCAACATGTCGGCGTGCACTGGGTTGTGATGAATGAACACATTCCTTCACATCGACAACCAGTTCCTTCAATTATTTCAAAGAGAAATATAAACTTTCTTTACAAAGGCAGCAATAGCAATATCCCTTACCTTGTTTACAAACGCAACCCGCCTGTCCGAATACCTCGACTGTTCTAACTCCCTCGTCAGAGAGCACCGTTTTGTTTTTCTTCCGCGTTCAACCTGACACTCGCTCGTTATAACGAGGAAGGAGGAAGCAACTCTAAAAGCCAAGTACATTTCAAAGCTCACGTAAAAGGCTCAAGCTGCACTCAACTTTCAAAACAACAAATAATTATGTATATCTTTTTTTAGTAAAATAATTTTAATTTGCAAAACAGGTCAAACACCAAATGACTTAATGCTTATTTTTGTTTTTAGACAGTTTTAAAGAGAGTTTTCTCATGATCAGACCAATTTGGCAAATCATTTATTTCTGAAAAAAGCTGACGAAAAGAGCTGTGACAGGACAAAATTAAAACAAACACTAAAAATGGCATAATCTCACATACGTGCTACAGTAGTCTGTCTTACAGACCCTGATACAAATATATCAACTACAGCCCATGCAAGTCTATAATGTTTGGCAAGTCTTGATTACTGCAGTATCAGGCAATGAAGAGAATCACTGGGCTCCCTTTTTATTATATTTTTATTAAGATAACTGAGCAACTGTTTTTTTCTGTACGATATGTTCATTTCAGGGACTATATGTTAGTCTAGTGCTACAGAGGAGCCGTGACTCCTCTCCTGACCTTTGAGGTCAAATTTGACAGCCCTCCGATTTTGGAAAATATTGTATATGTTTAAAAGGGATCGCTTCTGATTGTAAATCAGTTCAAATTATTTTTGCAATTTGTGGTGGGTTACAAAGTAGACAAAAAAGTATGGCTAACAACTTCTTTACTTCAATGGAATTGTTGTTAGTGTTAATCCTTCACCTCCCATGAAGTCCGTACCATGTTCATTAATCACTCTTGCTTGAGAACGGTAAAATTATCTATACCGAAACGTCGCTCTTACAGTGTATAAACAAGAAGTTGTTATCCGTCAACTTCTTAGAAATGCCAGTCAAACAATTGTGGCGGGTGCCTTGTTAATTTGAATGGAGTATTTGGCCCCTTGAAATGACGCAACTCTATTTCTTGAAAATAAAAAAGGTAGGAATTTGAAAATAATTTAAGGCCACTTATTACAGGGGTGGGGTCATGGAAAAATGTTACATGTAATTTGTTTTTAAATTTTATTTTATGTACTTTTAAAAGAAAAACAAATATTTTGCTGTCACGTGCAGACGATTTGCGTTACCTCCTAATTAAACAGATCATACCTCGTCCTGACATGGTGTATGTTTTCTTGAGTGAAACCGAGGTTTTGAAGTGAGGTAACACTGTGAGAAATTATTGAGAATATAAGAAAACGTACTCGCCTCGCACACTTATTAAATTAACGAAAGATCTTATTAACTTGCTATGCCGCACTGACGTGACGTCCTTTTGTTTGAAAGAATTTAGAGAAAGGTTTTATTTTATTATCTTATCAATTAACATGTGTGTTCTCTTTTTGTGGAATCATTTTTTTACAATTGTTTGAATACCGGAAAATACATGAATCATGGAGCTATTGTGAGATTTTGTCAAGATATGAAAATACTATGATCGTTCAGGTAAAATTCCACTGCCTACAAATGAAAACAATACCTGAGCGATTGATTACAATGATTTCTCCCACGGGGTCAAAGGCAAAAGGTTATGAAAAAGAATCCTGTTCTGCAGCCAAGAATAAGAGGTACATATTCCTCGGGAGCGGCAGTTTCACGGATGAACGGGTAAGATTGTACTACTCGCCTGACACCCACATCGTGTCTTGCCCCTCTGAACACAGTGTTGTATTGACATTCTTCCCCCTTTCAAATATATATGTGTCAATCTTGTGTGGGTTTTGACAAAGTGATGCACTGATGTATGAAGAAGATGCAGATGTTGTTTTTCATTTCTTGCTGGTATTTGGAAATATTTGGGTATTTTAAGCACCTCGACTATATGATATTGTTTATAACCCAGCATATCATTACAATAAGCCCTCGAGAATATCCAGTACCCACAAACAAAGACACCAACGTTATGACATGTCAATAATTTATGCGACTAGACTAGGTTACGCTAAGCATTTCGTTTCTGGTCCAATTTCTATACATTATATAGGCATTGCTGCATTTACCATTGCACATAGAAAATACATCCTATTGACTAGTTTAACGTGTGTTTAGGTTTTATTGTGGACACCGCAGCGTGCACTATCTATCTGCCGGACTGACTGCCTTACAACGCGAACTCGATAATGCCGCATGCAGTTTTAACGTAATCAATGGATTGAGGGTCTCAACGATACCGCTTATTGATTGGTTTCCCTGGCTTATTGAAATATATTATATTATATGTTCCACGGATTAAATGTTGCGATGTATATCAATAAATATCAGGAAAAAAACGGACGTAGAGATATTTAGCGGTCTTTGTTTCTATAGCTAGTGTGGGATTCATATTTACAGAGTTGAAAACGGCAGAGGTATATGCTTGTGGAGCCTCACTGGCCGGAGCGGTTCCTGTCCCTATTCGTTATAACGCGGATGACCTGAGCTTTTACTATTAAGTCTCATGTTTGAAATATATAGGGGTTACGATGTCGCCATGCCCGGATCTCCTGGTATGTCGGCGATGGCAGATTGTCGGTCAGTCATATCATGTATGCATGCATATCATTTCGATGGGTGGCGAAGGTATGACTGATCGAGTCGATTCGACATACGCTCATGGTTTCAAATGGGTAGAAAGAAACAGCTAACGCTTTCACACCACCCCATGTACGTCATGATAGTTCGCCATCATCATCATCATCATCATCATCATCATCATCAGGACGGTCGGGTAGCCTAGTGGTTAAAGCGTTCGCTCGTCACGCCGAAGACCCGGGTTCGATTCCCGACATGGGTACAATGTGTGAAGCCCATTTCTGGTGTCCCCCGCCGTGATATTGCTGGAATATTGCTAGAAGCGGCGTAAAACCATACTCATCATCATCATCATCATCATCATTGTTTTTGTATCCAAATCAAATATATCAACTACCATATCGATCAGATTGTCAATACTCTGCAGTTTTACTAATTAATAATGTGACTAAGTGACTCATTAGTATATAGGTTAAAAACACATCTTAATTATGATGCTGCGTAAAAATATTCCTCCGGAACTCTTTTCTCAAAAGTGATTATTTTATTGAAAACAGAAGTGATGAGAGAAGGAACTTTCCCCCACAAATAATCAACACACACAACTAGGCATACATTGAACTATAACACAATGTCAGTTAATACAATGATCACAGTGTCCTCGTCATGTTCTACGTGAGATATTTTATATTTTTTTATCGATAGAAATATAAATGACGCGCAAGATTTAAAAGAACCTATGATTTCCTTGTTTAGCCTTTTAATTATCAAAATATTTCTCACAATTAAACCTGCATCGATAGTTAGGCAAAGGTACGTTACCTTAACTCCATGTGGCGTCATGCACACAGAACAGTTCACTTGAAGTGGAAAATGGTTTCGTGAAATTTATACAAACCTCTTCATATGAGGGAGACTGCGCGAGTTTCGTTTAACACCACGAGCATAGGTATGTGTCACGCATCTTAGACACAATCTACTCCCTAAATTGCGACGCCCCATACGAACAGACCCAAAAGGCAAAATCGAAATCCTATTTCTTTCATATGTCCCCTTTCCATGTACCTAATAGGTGATATAATTACGACAAAATTAATGGCCAAATTCGGTTAATACATGTAAAACGTACTAACCCCACTTTATAATAAAACTCTTACACTTAATATTTTTACAATTATGCTTCTGAAATTGCATATACAACTACAACTACAACTACTGTAACTACTGCTACTGCTGTTGCTGCTGCTGTTGTTGTTGTTGTTATTACTACTACTACTACTATTGCTACTACTACTTCTACTACTACTACTTCCGGCCTCCTCCGTGGCCTAGTGGCTACAGCGTCTGCCCAGAGAGCGGAATCTCGGTGGCTCGACAGCCGGTCGCGCCTTACCAAAAGATCCGCCTCCGTTGTCTAGTGGTAGAGCGTCCGCCCGGAGAGCGGAAGGTCCGGTGTTCGATCCCCGGTCGCGCCTTACCAAAAGACGTTACAAGATCGTATTTGTTGTTATCCTGCCTGGTGCATTCACGTCAATATATATATACGTGAAATATTCTTGAACGCACCGTTAAACTTCATCTCACTTCACTACTTTTGTTTCTACTCCCACTACTACACAACCACAGAAAACACAAACTCGCAATGACTGATCCCCAACGACTACACATACTACATATGCATGTCACATCTGCCCCTACTCTGAATGTATACGCGGTGTCATGTATTTCAGCCATGGTGCGTGGGCGTGGCTCTACCTGGTTTCTGGTGGGCGTGGCCGGCTTGCTGATGGGCCTGAGTTACATCCTCTACACGCCTGTCCCGGACGGCGTCTCACAGCCGTGGAAACTTCAGATATTCATGGCGTCAGTCAAACTAGCAGGAGTCGTGGTAAGTGTGACGTAATACCGACTGGTTGGAAAATATTATTCAACCATGACTTGAGAAAAAATCTGATTGTCCGTTTCAAAAACCAAATCGCCGCCGATACTAATATTGACCTCCACATGGCCTCGTTCTTTTTCTATTGTTACTACATTTTCGATATCTTCTCTGACAAGGCAGAACCTTAAAAAATTGCATGAAAGATCCTAGCTATGATGTCTTTAAAACATGCACTCAAAATTCCGGCAGTTTATACAACGGTGAGGGACGCAAGAAATGGGTTTCGCATATTTTAGCCATCTTGGGATCGAACAGGACCTTCGGCTTGACGAGCAAACGCTTTAACCACAAGGCTATCCCACTACACGCAGTTTGCAGATATGTTGTCCAAAATGAACGCATACATATGACCACTTATGCATGAATGAAAGCATTTCGAATGTGAAATGGGGTCTGGTTTTCAGGGCAAAACTCTTTGGTCGGCATTCAACTTTTCCACGTATGCTAATGCTTCATAAGATGACCTGCCGCATTAAGATTGGCCTAGATCAACACGGTAGACCCCCTCGAATGTTAAAACCCTGTAAAAACGGAGTGGTACCTTCAAAAACATTTAACAAAATTAAGCCCTCATTTGATCAGACCCTTATTAAACCGGACAGTACGTACCGACATCAGTTCCGGTTTTTGTGCTAACGAAACGACAAAGACGTGTGAACCAATCTCATTAAAATCAGACCTTAGTTCTCGCTGCCGCTAAACAAAGATCTGAGGACATCCCATTACGGGTAGCGTCAGACCGACATTTTGCGAACTCTGACCGACCAATGCAATTACTGACAAGAAGTCGACTTTAGCCAATCAAAAGGCAGCTTTCTCGTGCTTTACGGCACTAATTTCAAATTGGCGACTACGCTTCGAAACATTTTTGACAAATTCTCGCTTACAAATTTGAAACCTGAACAAAAGATCATTCTCCAATGGCTAATATGTGGTCTAGATTGTATAGATTCAGTCGTTAAGCCCGTAACTATCGTTCGGAATACCCCCTTTTAAAGTTTTCGAGGTTGCATGATTAGAAATCAAATTCCGACTGTCACTTTTATGATCTGGTAAGCGCCGCTCTGATTGGTTGGACGAAAGGTCGTTCTGACGTGACCTCTAATGTGATGTCCTCAGATCTTTGTTTAGCGGTAGCGAGAACTAAGATCAGATTTTAATGAGACTGACGTGTGCACCGTTTATTGCCCCGAAGAAGGTCACGGATTAACGAGGTTTAACTGTATGTTTTCCCTGCCAGAGTGAGATCGGGCACCTGCTGGGATGTGGGAGCAGGAACAACATGACACGAATGATCTTTGAGAAACTCGTGGGGACAGGAGTGGTTTCCAAATCTGACCCGGAACTATACGTGAGTAGTGCGCTGAAATTGAGTGAGTGAGTGAGTATGGTTTTACGCGGCTTTGAGCAATATTCCGGCAAAATCACGGCGGGGGACACCCGAAATGGGCTTCACACATTGTACCCATGTCGGGAATCGAACCCGGGTCCTCGGCGTGACGAGCGAACGCTTTAACCACTAGGCTACCCGACTGCCCCTACTACGCTGATAGAGGCGTGTGGTCATCACTGACTTGTATCTATATGAAAATATAAAGTATAACAGTGTTATTCTCTCCACGGTTTACAGTTCAATAAATGAACTGTACACGATATCCTAGGATGTTTACGGTGGCCCATAAGGGACATGGAGTCTGTTTTTCAATATTTTGATGTTTCACTTACTTTTATCGTAACCTTTTGCAAATTAACACAATTTGTCACACACATATGTGATAAATCATGTATAAAAACAACCGAAAACATGCAAAATGTACTTTCAAGTAGCTATTGAGTCGCTGAAATGTGAAGCGAAAATGTCAAAAACTAAAATGGAAATGTCAAAAACCAAAACGAAAAGGTGTAAAACTAAAATGAAAATGTCAAAAACAAAAACGCAAAATGTCAAAAACTAAATTGAAACCACAGAAAACTATTTCCACGGCGGTGTAAATATTATCACCGCGGTGGAAATAGTTTTCTGTATTTTCATTTTAGTTTTTGACATTTTCATTTTAGTTTTTGACATTTTCGTTTTCGTTTTTGACATTTTCGTTTCACTTTTCAGCAATTCAGTATCTTCTTTACACATGATTATCACATATTTGTAAGACAAATCCTGTTAATTTGCAAAAGGTTACGATAAAAGTAAGTGAAATATCAAAATATGGAAAAACAGACTCCATGTCCCTTATGGGCCACAGTAGATGTTGAATGAAAACTTTATAAATAAATGTGCAGTCGCCTGTTTCCTTCAGAAACATCTGATATCATCAATGTCAGCATCCCTTTAATGTTCCTTGATAATATCGCTGACTGATAACGATCACATTTTCATATCAAGGACAACGCATCATAAAACAAAATAATTCAAGTGTGTATGCACTTACACAGCAACCTCTTTTCAGTGACAACCTAAATAGCTATCCAACTGTGTAGCTCATTGTGTATCGTAAGTAACCGCTAAGCTGTATGGATAGGCTTCTCCTTCTCTACAATCTAGGTGACTGACGAACTATTTGATGGGGTAGCAGTGCGAATCTACTACCCTCGGGCAGCCAAGAAGCCCCTCCCATGCCTCGTCTACTACCACGGTGGGGGCTTCGTCTGGATGAGCGTCAACTCCTACGACGGCGTGGCGGCAGTGTATGCTAAAGGAGCTAAAGTAGCAGTTGTCTCAGTGGAGTAAGTTGTTGGATCCATTAGTGAGTAGTTTGGTCTGACGCCGCTTTGAACAGTATTCCAGTTATATCACGCCGTGTCACGCAGCTGTCTCAGTGGAGTTGATGCTCATGATATCAATCACTGGATTGTCTGGTCCAGACTCGATTATTTACAGACCGCCGTCATATAGCTGGAATATTGCTGAGTGCGGCGTTAAGCAACAAACCAACCAACCAACTCAGTGGAGTAAGTTGTTGGATCCATTAGTGAGTGGTTTGGTCTGACGCCGCTTTGAACAGTATTCCAGTTATATCACGCCGTGTCATCTTAATATGGGAGGAAAGCCCGAAGTGATGCAGGCATCAGACGTTTACCACTTTGGTGAAACCTACGAGCACGGGTATGGTGCTGACAAATCTAGGAACCTAAATAATCAGGGCAAATCTGGGATTCGAACCCACGATCATAATATTCTTGCACGCAAAAAATTTGCACCTTTGCACAGCAAATTGTGACGGCTATATAAGATGGATGGGACACCAGAGCCCTATTGGTCTAATTCGGGTTCATGCCAGAACATTTCTTTATTCTCGGTGGAAGGTGGATAGTTTCCGTTGCTTGGCAGCAGCAGTGAACTGTTTGATTATAATGACCAGGGCCCACTTGCACAAAACGATCTTAGCGCTAAGACTATTGTAAGCCTATGTTAAAGTATGGGAGTTAAGATCATCTTTGCGCTAAGATCGCTTTGTGCAAGTGGGCCCAGGGTACCGTTGTACAAAACAACATTAGCGCTACGACTGTCGTAAGTCAGTGTCAAGGTATGTGGGTTACGATCACCTTTGCTCTGAGATCGGCACCCAGTAGGTGCCGGTGAAATAATAGATCCAATGCATCAATATATATGGCCCGACTTATGGAAGAATAGTAAACGTGGTTTGTTTGGGGTGGGGGTGGGAAAGGATTGGTCTTAGGACTGTATCATATTTTGCAGATCCCTCCATTCCGCCCCTCTCCCCACTGGCATTGTCACTGTTGTTTCCCAGTTTGTGATGGAGGTAAAACTAAGCATGTACGCCCCTTGCGAACCCCGTTAGGACCCCCTTTGGGTATTCATGCTTGTCGTTCGTGCCGACTATACAAAGCGGGGACGGTGGGGTAGCCTTGTGGTCAAAGCGCCCGCTCGTCATGCTGAAGGCCCATGTTCGATTCCCCACTTGAGTACAATCTGTGGAGGCAATTTTTGGTAATCCCGCTGTGATATGGCTGGAATATTAGTAAATGCGGCGCAAAACCATACTTACTCACTATACAAAGTAGATTGAGTGACATTGCTGACTTTGAAACCAAACCCAACATTCTGGATTGTTGCTCATGCTATCAACCACTGTTTAATTCATCCGTTATACTCCTACAAAGGATATTTAACACAGAACACTCTCTTCTGTGCGATAAGCATAAGACTGAGGCGCGGTTAAACACGGCATGAAACATGGCTGTGAATTCTCAAACATATAGTGAACGCTTCAAGTCAACCTCATCATACATGCCTACTTGTGTTTAACATTACGTTATGTGACATAGTAACACGATTTGACATCATCTGTTGGCTCTAGGTACCGCCTTGCCCCTGAATATCCATACCCTATACCGTTTGAAGACTGTAGAAGGGCCACCATGTTTCTACTGAAGAACGCCGATGACTTCGATATTGACCCCACAAGGATAGCAATCGGAGGTACATTCCCGTCTCGTGTAGACAATGTTAACGATTGGTTATAAGAATACGTTTTATATCTACCTTCCAGTATTTTGTAACTCTTGTCAAAACCTCTGTGTTCTCTTGAAATTGAACCGAAACTATCATGAGAACTGAAGAAAAGACAGATTAAGTATGTTATCTAACTTGAATAAAATTACGGATGAATTCTCCTTTTTGATTGTAGAACATAATCGGCTTTTAGAAGTAATTATGTAGAATAGTAATTCCTTATTAATCTATATTTTTAGAAGTATAAAGCTTTAATTATTGATAAAACATGTACCCTTCTTAGCTTAACAAATGTTTTATTTGGCATAACACTTTCTCAGAAAAGTACAGATTCTCGTACTTTTTGGGTTGAGGCCCGCCCGGGATTAGAACACACACTGCCACAAAGTCACAAAGTCAACGAGTAACTCACTCAACCACCGAGGCTTCCAGGCTGAGTGGGTTAGATCGCTGACTTTGTGTGCTGGCGATTAGGTGCCTCACTCTGGCAGTGGGGGCTCGAATCCCGACTGGGACTCAAACCCAAAAGTACGAGAATCTGTACTTTACAGAGAAAGTGTTGTCCCAAATATAACTTTTTTTACATTTGACCACTTTCTAAATGGCATTGTGCGTTCACTTCTTAGCTTGTCAATATTTATCCACCATGCAGTTATCAAATAATTGTACTGTAAAACAGTATATCACAACAGAGACCATATTATAGTATATGGTCTCTGATCACAGCCACTTGTCGCCGACGACTTGTATAATGTATAATGACTTAAGGTCAGTATTCTGAAAAAAACCAATGATTGATATACGTTCTTGTTTTTTCCAGGGGATAGTTCCGGCGGTAACATAGCAGCTGCTTTGGCCATCAAGTTCAGGGACGACCAGGTACTCCCGCGCATCAGGCGACAGATTCTCATATATCCCATGTTGCAGTTCTGCGACGCTCGACTTCCGGTTCACGTGGAACAGAGAGAATTCAGTCCTTTCTACGCCCAACAGATGGCGTTTATATTCGGCATGTATGTCAACTTGACCATTGATCAGTTGTCTCTAATGGCAACTGGAAATTTTTCAACTAAATCTTTGAGAGAGAAATGCAGGAGATGCGTCGATTACAAATTATTACCACATAACCTGGTGCCCCATGATTACAAACGACGTGACGTCATAGCACCGGCAGACAATCCGTATGCTCAGGACATTGAAAAGCTTGTCTCGGACCCCAAAATAGCTCCCCTTATGACTGAGAATTTGTCCGAGCTTCCGCCGGCTTTTATCTTAACAGTGAAAGTCGATGGTCTTCGTGACGAAGGAATAATTTATGCAAAGAGACTGGAGCAAGCAGGTGTTCACGTGAAATGGATGCATTTACCAGACACTTTTCATGGAGTGCTGAGTTTCTACCGAGGAGTATTTGGTTTTGATGCTGCTCAACGAGGCCAACGGTACATCATAGAATACTTATCTGAAAATATTTAATTTGTTTGAAGCGTATTTAGCGCTAGTAAGTGGCACAATCTCACTAAAATCAGATGTTTTGCTCCGATACGATACCCCTCTGCGTGAAGATCTAAGGACACCTCCCGTGGAGGTTGCAATTTGTAGGTGAACTTTCTACACAGCCATACAACATCGAGGCTTTTAGGTTCTCGTGGTTATCGAAGAATTCATACAAGCAAATCTGATTTCTGTACCTCGAAAACGAATATAATCGGGGAGTTCCGAATGCAAAACAAGGCCGCGCTGTCACATGCTTGTTGACTTTTACACCTTGTTTCTGAGCGCCATGGCCACTAAACCAAATGGGATGTACTTGGGAGTGTATATTTGTGTTCTGTGGCGGTTTTCCATTGCTGAGATCTATATTACACATCCGAGGCGGTAAGGTAATGAAGTCGGATAGTTTCAGAAAGCTGACATCTGATTGGCTGAGGAAAGTGTGCTTTGTGTTCACATTTTGTGGAAGTGTCGTCAGATATTCACGCAAGGGGGTATTTCACATGAGCCTGGAGAGTGGCCATTCTGGTGCTCATGACACGTTGGTGGTTGGTTCTGAATCAGGCGTCAACTCTTTGAGAATTAGGAACGACTCACTCGTGGTCAGTGTTGTATACAATAATTGAGTGTACGACTTAGCTCATGGTTAAAAGCGTATCATGACCACTCGGATTAATAATAGGTAAAGGGGTAGTCCTCCGCCATCTGACGGCCGTCGACAGTCTAGGTCTATACTTTGTGGTAGCTGCTGAGGGGGAAAGTGTAGTGAAGGTAATCGTTAACTAGACAGAGTGAGTGAGTGAGTATGGTTTTACGCCGCTTTTAGCAATATTCCAGCAATATCACGGCGGGGGACACCAGAAATGGGCTTCACACATTGTACCCATGCCGGGAATCGAACCCAGGTCTTCGGCGTGACGAGCGAACGCTTTAACCACTAGGCTACCCGACCGCCCCTTTTAACTAGACAGACGAGAACTATAAAACTGTAGTTGGCGGATAAACAAAGTTGTGTACGCACGACTTGAATGAACTCGCTATCTTTGCCAGCAAATTGACCAATGTCTCTTATGATCTTAGAACACTTTGAGTGAGTGAGTGAGAGAGTTTGGTTTTACGCCGCTTTTAGCAATACTCCAGCAATATCACGGCGGGGGACACCAGAAATGGGCTTCACACAAAATGTATAGATGACCTTCAAATGCACATGCGACAGCATGAATTTGTTGTGATAAGTATGTAATTGGCACTTTTCAATAATTAACCACGCGAAGAACTAGTAACTACTAGAATATGGGCACTGTATTGTTCATGTAATACGTGAAACAGATGTTTCAAGAAACACGACCAACCTGTACACAGATATAATACGTTTCCCTTCTGCCCGAGTTTCCAAATAATATTGACACGGCATTCGACAAAAATATTATTTTCTTGCTTTGGATTGTTTAAAAATATAATTATCATTATTATATGTAAGACAATGTTCCCGAAGAATAGAGATATAGGAATGGATGCTCAACCTGTGTATATACTGTTCTGAAAACCATCGGATCCCATTCAACAGTCATAGCCTATGTTAGTTTTCTCTCAAACCTGGACATATGCTCGGTACGAAAGCTGGCATAAAACTGGACTTTGGGACATACCATTTGATATTCGGGGAGTGGGGCGGGTGGGTTTGTGTTTTCCTTGGAGTTTTTTTTGGAGACTAGATATTTTAACAGCTACAGCTGCAAAACCAGATATGTGTTTAATTAGAGCTATATATATATATATTTTTTAAAAACACACTTTGCAACAATACATTTTTGTGGGAAACAACTTTACTTATGATCATCAATCTGAATAATAATTAAAAAAATTAATGAATTGTCGGGTACAATTCCCCCCCCCCCCCCCCCCCCCCTGCTGGCCCCGGGCAAGTGTATCAACAGCCAGCCGTGACATAGCTGGAGTATTGCTGACTGCGGCGTTAAACACCGCCCACTCACCCATTGAATAAACACTTAAGGTTTGACGCAACAAATCGTAATGGCGACACTATTCCCAGTTACCAAGATAATATATGTATAATCAATGCAATGTACATAGCGCTCCTAGTCAGTTCACACATGGTTTTATTGTATAGTCAGATATAGCCTTGCTCCAAGGCTGTACTGAAAGATAAGTCCATGGATCTGTAGTAATTCTGTCCCCCCAATAGGCAAGTCCAGATACGTGAACAGTACAGGACTCCAGTCTCTTTTAGGGACAACTTGTTCTTATTATTTACATATCTAGAAATTATGATTTAAACTAATAATTATTGCCTTGTATTATTGACTTGTGCAAGTCTAAGTCGGATATATCCCTTGTTAACTTCTGGCGTGTTGGTATAGCTGTATATAGCCCCTATTCGAATAGACAAAGTACGGCATCGAACAATAGCAGCCCCCACTGCGTGCAATTGTAATCAAAATAACAAACTAGTAATTATTGCCTTGTATTACTGACTTGTGCAAGTCTAAGTCGGATATATCCCTTGTTAACTTCTGGCGTGTTGGTATAGCTGTATATAGCCCCTATTCGAATAGACAAAGTACGACATCGAACAATAGCAGCCCCCACCGCGTGCAATTGTCACTTAACATTACAGGGTGAGGGTCAAACTGACAAATATACGCCACAGCTAGGTTAATACATCTGGACTAAATAGTTTTCTTTCTTACCCTGACTTGTAATATCCGTTAAGGTCATACATGCTTGTTCACACCGATGAAAGAGACTCGAAGATGTAAACGTTTTCGGAGAAGGATTTACAATGTCAGAATTTCGTTCACACATTGTCATCAACGAAGTTTGATCGATTTAACGATTTAGCGTAACGCCGTCCCGCTGAATTATCAGTCAACTGTAGACTATACATCCCTCTGCTTCAAGGAGAAGTCCGTTGGGCTCGCCAGAAACCTATGATTGTGGGTTCGAATCCCGGTTTGCCCTTATTATGTTTTTAGGTTTGTCAGCACCAAACCCGTTCCCGTGGATGTCACCAAAGTGGTAAACCTGCATTATTTCCGGCTTTCCTCCCACATTAAGCTGACACGCCGTGATATAACTGTAATACTGTTCAAAACGGCGTCACTTGTTTGCAGACACAACGAATTCAGCGAATTCAACTCCAAGCATGGTTGTGCCCATCTATCCCAGTAGGGAGGTTTGACTGGTGGCAGCGATAGCATTGTGAGCTCCGCGAACGGGCTATCGCTGTGAGGAGCTTGCGTCAGAAATCTATGATCATGGGTTCGAATCAAGGTTTGCCCCGATTATGTTTCTGGGTTTGTCAGCACCATACCCGTGCTCGTGGGTTTAAACAAGGTGGTAAACGTCTGAGACCTACATTACTTCGGGTTTTCCTCCCACAATAAGCTGTCATGCCGTGATATAACTGTAATACTGATCAAAGCGGCTTTAAACTCAACTTACTCACTCACCCATGTTTTCCTCCTGAGGGTATCTCCATCAAGCCCCAGGCTTAACCACTAGACGACCCCACCGCCCCTTCCTTGACTTCAGTGACAGTCTGATACTGTAACTATTTGTCACGTGTGTTCTGAGTGGCTGAGGGAAACCTCTCAAAGTATACCGACCAATCAAATATTGTATATTATAATTTGGTGTGACTACTTATTAAACCCCTTATGACACACATATCATAATTTAAACGTAGATACATATGCACAATGTTGTTTGTTGGTATACTTTACATGTATGTTACATATACACACTTTATTATTTATTTGTACGACATACTTTTATGCACTATTTATCGTGTTGTTAATGTTGGAGAACTTGACACTGTGAAATGCAATAATTCCATTCGAGTTCGTTTTGTACAAACTTATGGATACGGTCTATGTAAGAATGAAAGATAATAAAGACATACATTCACACGTGTTTCTCTTCAATATGCAGCGATGCTGGAGTAGATTTTTGGGCACCACAGTGCGTCTTCCTTGTTGTAAGAGTGAGTATGGTTTTATGCCGCTTTTAGCAATATTCCAGCAATATCGTTGCCTGAGACACCAGAAATTGGCTTCACACATTGTACCCATGTCGGGAATCGAACCCAGGTCTTCGGTGTGACGAGCGAACGCTTTAACCACTAGGCTACCCGACCGCCCCTGTCGTTGTAAGAGGGCTAGGATATACACGTTGATTTTCCCCCATGGAACACCACTTTTCACTGCGACAGTTCCATTGTATGTGTGTGATGTCAATTTACATATTGTTTCACAGAAAATATAATAGAAAACAAACGCAGTTGTCTGAAAATAACATTTTATTGAACATGTTAGTCGTATATGAAAATATATAATTCTACTACACAAATTGTTAGTTGTCAAAATGGGTTACTATGGAAATAATGCGATAAAATATGAACATTCTTAACTAAATATAGGTGGAAATGCCCACAGTAAACCATCGTCCAGGGTACCGTCAAACATGTATAGTGTTATCGTTAGTCAGAGATAAAACAGTATTACACCATAGCGTGTGTCGAGAAGGATTGTACTGGGACGTCATATCGCATCGTCTTGAACGATATATAGACTAAACGTAGTTGAATGAGGCTCCACTGCATGCTATACATCATTCGTGACCAACTCGTGTTATTCCGGGACAAGCCGAATAGAAACTCGTGCCCCTCTCGTGGCCATTTTTGCGACCGGGCATACCTAAAACAATTGTCAACTCGTTGCGTGATGGTTCACATATATTTCCCCATATATTATACATATTTTAGATGCAATTTAAAGCACATCGTGACGTGCGGAATTATACAGTAAATTGAACACATTTTACTGTGTCTTGGGTATAATTTTAGATGCAAGACATATGTAAAATCAAAAATTATTTCTGAGGGATTATTTGACAAGGAACTCGAAATCATACGGGCATTCTGATTGGTTTGTCGTATTTTCGCACATTACATTCATCGATAGGGGGACGAGTCTTCTTGCAAGTCACGGAAAGGGGCGAGTGGTGACGAATGGCAATACATAACAGAGGAAATTAACCACGGACACATTCATCAAGATTCGTCCCTTGTGTATTATATTTGGGGTTACGAACAATATACTCTATTTGGAAACCTATTTTGAGTCTTGAGAATGTCTTCTTAAGTATGGCGTGTACCAGTCGAAATGAAGGTTTTTCTCAAAACCGAACACTTTGGTAGTCCTCTTCAAACACTGGGTTTTCGTGACCTTGAACGTCATTTGCTGTTCCGTTTGAATCTACCTTTTCTGGTGGCGTCATGCTCTGTTTTCGTGATACTGACTTCTTGTGCGACTGAAGCCGTCTGTTGTTGGCTGTCTTGGTCTGGATATGGTTCGCAATGTTACCGTGGTGCTCCTCAGTGAGGTTCTTGTCCCACTTGCGGTGCAGAGCCTGATAAGTTAAACAGAATAACTGTTATAACAGATTTTAGATGAAGTTGGTTGGTTGGTTGGTTGGTTGGTTGGTTTGTTGTTTAACGCCGCACTCAGCAATATTGCAGCTATATGACGGCGGTCTGTAAATAATCAAATCTGGACCAGACAATCCAGTGATTAATGTCATCCACGCAATTGGGAGCGATGACATGCATCAACCAAGTCAGCGAGCCTGACCACCCGATCCCGTTAGTCGCCTTTTACGACAAGCATAGTCACCTTTTACGGCAAGCATGGATTGCTGAAGACCTATTCTACCCCGGAATCTTCACGGGTCTTAGATGCAGTTTTACTGTCACATTGTTAGACGTAACTGCATTTATTTTTAACATTTCATCTCTTAGGATATGTTTTCTGGATATAATAAATTTATTTTAAACATTTTGTTTCGACTAGTAAACTGCTTATATTATGAGCAAAATTTGACAAATTCATTTTGGCGGTTCAAGCATTTCCAATCTCCCCTGATATGGGCTAGTGGACACTCTTGCCTCGGGGAGATGGTATTACCACATGAATATATTCATGATAATCATACAGTAAACTACGTTTATAACGAACACGCTTATAACGAAATGACGAATATAACGAGCATATTTTTGGTCCCGGCCATTTGCTGTATATATGTTTATAACGAACTACGGTTATATCGAACTAAAATTAGTGGTCCCTTTGAGTTCGTTATAACCGTAGTCTACTGTATTTACCGAAGCTCCTTGGTGCATTTGCAGCAGACCCCGGAGTCCATACGCATCAATGTCTTTAGCCTTGTGCTTCCCTTTTTTCTTTTTCTCGGGCGCTGGAAAAGACATTCAATCAGCATGATGGTGTCAAGTTGAGGGACCGACCTTTTCATAGTCAATGTCCTGGGATTATTTTGCAAAAGATAAATTGTACCAGAAAAATATGCAGACAAATTCTTGTTGTTGTTAAAAAAACTCTGTTGCACAAATTACTTGTTTGGCTCCTACTTTTACGGAAAAGGGCAATTAAGCAGTGACCAAAACATATCCCCCGGAGCTTTAGCAGGGCTCAGCCAAACCACAACTCGCTGATGTTTCTAAATAACGCCGCTATATTTACGCAATATCACGGAGGCCAGACCTGGAAACCATCGGCCCTGGACCAAATTCTAGTAATGCCAATGATGCGGTTATTTCCGATGAATCGATAACAAATAAAAAATAAAAAATAAAAAAAACAAGAAGGCCCCAATAGGTTTAATAAATCCCGTATTTGCAAACTGAAAAGGTGCAAATTGTTTGTCACTTGCATGGTCAATTCTTTCTGACAAAATCATACAATATTGTCAGAAAAATACCTGAAAGCCTTACCTGTCACGTGACCATGTACACCATGGCTGTCAGGACTTTCCTCGGCAAGGTACAGGCTGGTTTCAATCCGGGGACTGGAATGGAGATGTATTTCAAAAACGTTGAACACCAAAACAATTCAACGGTCCTGAACTCTATCGTCTTTTTTTGTGGACATATCACAGAATACCTGGGTATTGATTAAGCCTCTATGTCTTTGTTAATGTACATTCATAATCCAATAACAGCTTAGCATTAGAATACTTACTACCAAGTAAAAATCAAACATGCTTAAGGCTAGTGTCCGCGTTATTACTCTTTTGTAAGGCGACCTGTAAGTTAGTCAGTCTTGTTCAGACAAATCAGGGCCATGTTCCACGTGGTGATCGTAGCGCTACGGCAGTCGTAATTCTGAGTTAAGGTATGGGAGTTACGATCGTACCGCTACGGCAGTCGTAATTCTGTGTTAAGGTATGGGAGTTACGATCACCTTAGCGCTACGACAGTCGTAAGTCTATGTTAAGGTATGGGAGTTACGATCGTAGCGCTACGACAGTCGTAATTCTGTGTTAAGGTATGGGAGTTACGATCGTAGCGCTACGACAGTCGTAATTCTGTGTTAAGGTATGGAATTCATGATCGTAGCGCTACGACAGTCGTAAGTCTATGTTAGAGTATGGAATTCACGATCGTAGCGCTACGACAGTCGTAAGTCTATGTTAGAGTATGGGAGTTACGATCACCTTAGCGCTACGACAGCCGTAAGTCTATGTTAGAGTATGGGAGTTACGATCACCTTAGCGCTACGACAGTCGTAAGTCTATGTTAGAGTATGGGAGTTACGATCACCTTAGCGCTACGACAGCCGTAAGTCTATGTTAGAGTATGGAAGTTACGATCACCTTATCGCTACGACAGTCGTAAGTCTATGTTAGAGTATGGAAGTTACGATCACCTTAGCGCTACGACAGTCGTAAGTCTATGTTAGAGTATGGGAGTTACGATCGTAGCGCTACGACAGTCGTAATTCTGTGTTAAGGTATGGAATTCACGATCGTAGCGCTACGACAGTCGTAATTCTGTGTTAAGGTATGGAATTCATGATCGTAGCGCTACGACAGTCGTAAGTCTATGTTAGAGTATGGAATTCACGATCGTAGCGCTACGACAGTCGTAAGTCTATGTTAGAGTATGGGAGTTACGATCGTAGCGCTACGACAGTCGTAAGTCTATGTTAGAGTATGGGAGTTACGATCGTAGCGCTACGACAGTCGTAAGTCTATGTTAGAGTATGGGAGTTACGATCGGACCGCTTTGACGAACGGGGCCCAGGGTTGATAGCAAACGCAACGATTCGTACTTTCGGGTACCCTGACATCCATTGTAACTGAGCACCCTTTTTAGATTTAAGTCTTCTCTTCCGATCTATTCTGGTTAAGGACTTACAGAGTACGTTTACAGAGAGATAGACTTGATTGGGTGTACCAGTCACAGTGTATTAGGACTTCAAACTGTTATAATGCTCGGCAAAGGTTGCATAATATAATTTGTATTCCTAAAACTTGATAATTACGATACAGGAACACTTGGATAATGAGGCAAGATATTTTTGAGGGAACAAATTGTTTTGTTTCTAACTCAGAAATACCTGAGTATTCTCATACTTAAAGTCTTAGGTGGGGAACATTGTCGAAATAAAGGTTAATTATGAACAGACCAATATTTAAAAAATACATAAACTTGTGTTCATTTTTTAAAGAAATATCTTGTAACATTATATTTTTATGTAATATATCTAGTGAAAGATTTTTTAATTTTTTTTAGTAATGGTACAAATATATTAATTGTTACTTTCAACAGTGAATGATAATTTACATCAGTATGCAACTTTTACCCTCGATGACGTCCAGCGATTATTTTAATTAGAAATTTTCCAAAAATAATTATTTTAGCAAATTTTCTTAAATACATGTAATAAGAGAAAACAATACATTTGTGTCCTCAATAAAGTGTTCCTGCTAAAACTCTTTACTTTCTTACATACAATCAAATTTATTTTATTTATAGTCTTACGCTTTGAGAAGATCATATTGCATAACAAATTAGTCTTCAAGAGGTGAAGAGAGTTTTTTCCTTTTCACAACCTTGCCATTGATAATCTCAATTTGCATAATTGAGAACCGTGGGTGGAGAGGTTTAATTATAGAAGAGAAACATTCCTGACTTGCATGTCTGCACTGTTTACATCACACTTACATGTGGCCCTGTCCAGTCTTGGCGGAGACTCCCACCAGCTGAAGATGTTTGTAGTGCTCTCTGAAACAGGAAAACACAACAAGCACTGTCAGAAAAACTGTTAGAAGACAAAAACAAGATTGCCTCTGCCTTAAGAAATGGCGTCTTCATGTTTATCTGTATTCCCAGGGCAATCCACAAATGCATCTAAGTGTCTTACAAGTTTATGATTCTCCTCCAAGTCGCGACCGCCTCTGTGGTCTAGTGGTACAGCGTCTACCCGGCGAGCGGAAGTTCCGGGGTTCGATCCCCGGCCGCGTAAAACCAAAAGACGTTAAGATATGGTACTTGTTGTTACACTGTCTGGCGCCCAGCATACAGGGGCTAAAACAAGGACTGGTCGGCTCGGAGTCAATATACTGTGTCTGAGTGGGGTATTCATGTTAAACTGCGGCATGGTATCTCAGTGTGCTAGCACTTTAAATCGGCATCAGTCCGGTCTAGTACAAGCAGTCACTGACATACCCTTGCATGCACGTCGCTATGTAAGTGCAATAATCTTGGACGCGACGTTAAACCCTATTTTACCTCCCCTAACCTCCTCCTTCAAGTCGCAATACTCAACTTCTTTCAGTGGCATTTAGAAGTTGGTGTGATGAAGAAAGACGAGTTCTATGGATGAACAACTTCTTTATTACAATTAGTGCGACGTTTCGGTGTAGATCCTAACACCTTTATCACTTGCTTGACGTTTCGGTGTAGATCCTAACACCTTTATCACTTGCTTGATAAAGGTGTTAGGATCTACACCGAAACGTCGCACTAATTGTAGTAAAGAAGTTATTCATCCATAGAACTCGTCTTTCTTCGCAATACTCAAGTCGAAAATTGAAATATATTCAGATTCTGTATGCATGCGTGAATGCCATTTGAACGCTCACGTTTTCTCCAGGGGCGACGGGGTAGCCTAGTGGTTAAAGCGTTAACTCGTCACGCCGAAGGCCCGGGTTCGATTCCCCAAATGGATACAATGTGTGAAGCCCATTTCTGGTGTCCCCCGCCGTGATATTGCTTAAATATTGCTAAAAGCGGCGTAAAATCATACTCACTCACACTTTCTCTAAACAGGAGCCAGTAGGTAACGACATAGTGTTGTTACACACGCCGATCGACTTTATAGTCAAACATGATGTTGAATTTGACACTGTAAACAGAGACTTTTCAGATTGTGCTTGCCACCTGAACGGCCTAATCTGCCAGCTTCATCCAGCCTCGACCACGGGAGTATTACTTTCTGTTTGTTGTTTAACGCAACACTCAGCAATATTCCAGCTATATGACGGCGGTCTGTAAATAATCGAGTCTGGAACAGACAACCAAGTGATTGACATCATGAACATCGATATTCGCAATTGGGATACGATGACATGCATCAACCAAGTCAGCGAGTCTGACCACCCGATCCCGTTAGTCGCCTCTTACGACAAGCATAGTCGCCTTTTACGACAAGTATGGGTTGCTGAAGACCAAAACATTCTTCCAACCCGGTGGAAGTCTTCCTGAGTACAGCCTCACACCAATGCCACTCACTTGAGCAGGATCTTGTGGTAGAATTCCTGGAGCTGGGTTTGGCTCAGTTCCGGTTCCAGTTGGAGCCACCTCCTGATGTAGCGGTCCTCGAATCGCTCCAGCTCCTCCTGTGTGGGGGCAATTGGAGAGTAAGTGAGTGAGTTGGTCTTAACGCACTGGAGGCGGGTCGAAATGGAGTATCGAGGGTCGAAGCTTCGACCGGCACCTGGGCCCACTTGCACAAAGCGATCTTAGCACTAAGACTATTGTAAGCCTATGTTAAAGTATGGGAGTTACGATCGATCGTCTTAGAGCTAAGATCGCTTTGTGCAAGTGGGCCCAGGTGCCGGTCGAAGCTTCGACCCTCGGTACTCCTGGGCCCTGGATCGTCAACATCAATAAACCCTCGGCCCTGTTACTTCCCACCCACCTCCCATGAGGTCCTCCAGACTCCGCGTATACCTAATTCTTTGCGATAAGATGTTTACTTCGAGAGTGTCGGTTTGAATCCCGGATGTGACGCCACTTATAAAAATCTACCAGAATTGGAACTTGACTAGAAAGTGGTTTCCCAAATATAACATATGTTACTTTTGACCACTTTATGAAAGGCTTTGTCCATTCAAGGAAAAGATATTGGTGAAAAAAATGATGGCGAAAGAGGAGGCGTATGATCTAGTTGACTGCCATATGAATAAAAGATTCTCCCCATTGCTTGTAGAGAAGACCGGACTGAGATGAGCCGGGTGAATAGTGCTTGGATACTCAGTCTGCTGAAGCGGCGTAAAATCCCACTTTATCTACCAGAACCAATGAGAGCGTTAGACAAAGACAATATATGTGAACAAGTGAACACATTCCTTCAAGTGTACGATAGAGTACTGGTTTTGAAATGTGGAAATGCATATCGTTGTCTCATATATAGTCTTGCGCCATGACTGTGGAATTTATTTTTTTACTAAAAGCCTAAGCAAGTCTAGATCAAACTAAACAAGTCTTGTTTCCCTAATTTCACAAGAGCAGTAGAGGAAAGGTTCTTTCGAAGAAGAAAATATTTTTATATTAAAGAAATGTTTTCATTGACTAAGTGTTAGTCTATCTCATAGAAAGTACAATGTTTAAGTCATCAACGCGATGTCATCACCTACACTTGCTTGATAACGATGTTAGAACCCACACCGAAACGTCGCTCATAATTGTAAGAAAGAAGTTGTTCATCCATAAATTCTTATCCTTACTCAGTCTAACATTATATATGCACTACTAAAAGATACGTGTGAAGAACTGGAAATACCACGGGGAGGGCAAGAACTTGTCCCCAATTCCGCCCAATTCTAGTGAATAAATATGTTTAAATAAAAATATAAAAAAACACCGTGTAAGTCTGACATTTCACGTCGAATAAAATCATATTAGGGTACGCGGCATCACTATGATGCTGAGCTATCCGGAATCAGAGCACGATGCATATGAGCTGAGTGTCAATCGTTTCTTGTGCTCACCAAACCATGCTACACGAAGTAACTGCCCTGACAGCTATATCCATTAAACCACTTATATGACAAATACTGGCCACACTGAGAGCTGAGTGTCAATCGTTTCTTGTGCTCACCAAACCATGCCTCACGAAGTAACTGCCCTGACAGCCATATCCATTAAACCACTTATATAATAATTATCGGATAAAATAGCACATCTAATAGTGGTCAATATTTATCATTGCCCAAGGGCAGTTACAAACTTACAAACGGATTTCTAACAACTGCCCAATCTCATTAAAATCGCGAGCACTCAGATCTGATATCACTTTGATTGAATCCCTGCCCATCGTCTCAAGGCAAGAGAGTTGCCGAACGACACTAGCCACCAGTGCATTTACGAGTTATGTCCCTTCTATATTCCTCCTATTGACTAATCAGATTCCACCTATCATATTACTTGCATTTGCTTCAAACAAAATGGCGGCGCCCAGTCAAGGCGGTCTGCTCGATAATATATATCTGTATTGTTATCAAACGGGTTTTACCTCGCGAAATGCATCAAATTACATTAGCACCTTGATTAATAACATGAAAAGATTTTGAAAATATCTGTAGACGCCCAGTTGACGGTACACATGCTTTGGAAATCCTGCAATCGACCTAAATCTGCACGGCAGTTTACGAACCGGATGTCGATTTCGTTACGCGATTTTGATTGGATTGTACATAGACTCGTTAGTGCAGGCAAAACATAACTCCGAAATTCCAGCAATGTCCGGCAGGGGTGGAAACTAGACTTTTACAATCAGTAAACTCCCTTGCCTCGGGAAGATGACCCCTGCCTTACCACCCTGCAAAGCACACTAAATAAATCTGTAACGCTTTGACACAAGACCAGAAAGACGTACCTTTATTGTGTATCTTCCCCGGAAACCAACAATTTCCTCCACGCCGGCCATCAAATGATCTGTCACCTGAAACATTAAAATAACTTGGCTATATATTTTCTTGCAGCGACATGTAATTCTTGTCTGATCCTTGAATTCAAATGATGTCTGGTATTCCATTTCATGGCGCCGTCCAGGTTAGGAAGAGGTTGTTACAGACCCGTGAAGATCCGGGTAGAGAATAGGTCTTCAGCAACCCATGCTTGCTGTCAGAGGCGACTATGCTTGTGGTAAGAGGCGCCTGACGGGGTCGGGTGGTCAGGCTCGCTGACATGGTTGATGCACGTAATCGAGCCACAGTAGCGTAGATCGATGCCTATGGTGTCAATCACTGGCTAGTCTGGTCCTGATTCGATATTATAGCTGGAATGTTGCTGAATGAGCGTTAAACAACAACAGCAAAAAAACCAAACAAACAAACGTTGTTATACTCGTAGTTGATAGGCTGCCTCACCGCCATGTTGCTGACAGATGGGAGGAGGGGATTTGCTGCTTTTCAAACCAGGAAAATGTTATCGCTGTTGGACGTCTGGGTGTATGTCAACTACATGTAGTTGATAGGCTACCTCACCGACGTCTAGGTGTATTCCTGTTGTATCAACTACATGCTTTATATCAATCAGGGGAAATCCTCGCCAACTCACTTGGTCGTTAAAGTTTTGTAAATGTATCAATATCTGATAAATCTGCATCAGTATCTGACTCAAATTCTTGTTGAGGTCCTAGTACATGCATCAGTATCTGACTCACATTTTTGTTGAGGTCCTGGTACATACATTCGTATCTGACTCACATTCTTGTTGAGGTCCTGGTACATACATTAGTATCTGATTCACATTCTTGTTGAGGTCCTGGTACATGCATCAGTATCTGACTCACATTTTTGTTGAGGTCCTGGTACATGTATTAGTATCTGACTCACATTCTTGTTGAGGTCCTGGTACATGCATCAGTATCTGACTCACATTCTTGTTGAGGTCCTGGTACATGCATCAGTATCTGACTCACGTTCTCGTTGACGTCCTGATACATGCATCAGTATCTGACTCACGTTCTCGTTGACGTCCTGATACATGCATTAGTATCTGACTCACATTCTTGTTGAGGTCCTGGTACATGCATCAGTATCTGACTCACATTCTTGTTGAGGTCCTGGTACATGCATCAGTATCTGACTCACATTCTCGTTGACGTCCTGATACATGCATCAGTATCTGACTCACATTCTTGTTAAGGTCCTGGTACATGCATTAGTATCCGACTCGGATTCTTGTGGAGGTCCTAGTACATGCATCAGTATCTGACCCACATTCTTGGTGAGGTCCTGGTACATGCATCAGTATCTGACTCACATTCTTGTTGAGGTCCTGGTACATGTATTAGTATCTGACTAACATTCTTGTTGAGGTCCTGTGCATAATAAGTAGGGGGGAGGGAGGGATAGGAGAGGTGGGGGGGGGGGGGGGGGGGGGGGCGCATGAGTTGATGTACCCACTATGTTAGTTTATGTTCCCAAAGCTTGAGGGACAGGTAGGCAACAAAAATTTTCTTGTGTACATGCTTACATACCACAGATAGGTATTTATCTACTTCATTCATTTCTCACATATGTCGAAAAGCAGATGGCAGAAAACAAAGGTAGAGTTATTACCCCTAGCTCTTTTCATTCGGACAATTTGTAACAACCTGGAGAATGGTGTCTTGCATCATTCATTCGAGATACATAATTACGGTTGGTATGTTGCAAAACAGTTCTGCAATTCGAGCGGGCACACAAGAAATGTACCTTACATGTTAGCGGAGAGTATTGGGAATAATAGAAGGAGTCGCAGCCAAATCCGAATCCGACATTCACGAATAAGGTAAAGTAAGTATTAGTATCTGACTCACATGATCGTTGAGGTCCTGGTACATGCATTAGTATCTGACTTACATGATCGTTGAGGTCCTGGTACATGCATTAGTATCTGACTCACATTCAAATCCGAATCCGACATTCACGAATAAGGTAAAGTAAGTATTAGTATCTGACTCACATGATCGTTGAGGTCCTGGTACATGCATCAGTATCTGACTCACATGATCGTTGAGGTCCTGGTACATGCATTAGTATCTGACTTACATGATCTTTGAGGTCCTGGTACATGAAAAAGTATCTGACTCACATTCAAATCCGAATCCGACATTCACGAATAAGGTAAAGTAAGTATTAGTATCTGACTCACATGATCGTTGAGGTCCTGGTACATGCATTAGTATCTGACTTACATGATCGTTGAGGTCCTGGTACATGCATTAGTATCTGACTCACATTCAAATCCGAATCCGACATTCACGAATAAGGTAAAGTAAGTATTAGTATCTGACTCACATGATCGTTGAGGTCCTGGTACATGCATTAATATCTGACTTACATGATCGTTGAGGTCCTGGTACATGCATTAGTATCTGACTTACATGATCGTTGAGGTCCTGGTACATGCATTAGTATCTGACTCACATTCAAATCCGAATCCGACATTCACGAATAAGGTAAAGTAAGTATTAGTATCTGACTCACATGATCGTTGAGGTCCTGATACATGCTCAGCTGCTTGGCCTGAGCCAGCTGCACCCGCATCAGCTTTACCAGGGGCTTGATGGAGATACCCTTAGGAGGAAAACATGGGTGAGTGAGTGAATTGGGTTTAACGCCGCTTTGATCAGTATTACAGTTATATCATGGCGTGTCAGCTTGATATGGGAGGAAAACCCGAAGTGATGCAGGTCTCAGACGTTTACCACCTTGTTTAACCTCACGACCACGAGTATGGTGCTGACAAACCCAGAAACATAATCGGGGCAAACCTTGAATCGAACCCACGATCATAGGTTTCTGACGCAAGCTCCTCACAGCGATAGCCCGTTCGCGCAGCTCAAAATACTATCGCTCCCACCAGTCAAATCTCCCTACTGTGATAGATGGGCACAACCATGCTTGGAGTTGAATAAATTATTCGCAACCGACAGGCTGTTGTGTGTGTGCAAACAAGTGATGTCTGTCAAGACGCCAAATAGTTCAGTTTGAATTTCTATTTCATTTCAACTGTCGTGTAATTGGTATCGTAAGAATGTAAGGGGGATTTTCCGTTCGTCTGCAGTCTCGAATCTGATCAAACAAACAAAAAGTTAAAAGTCATGGGGGAAATCTGGTCAGTCACAAACATTTTCAAAATTCACTATGATGGCATTCCCAAAGACATAAACAAGTATAAACGTTACTACATTTGGGATTAGAGGGCAAATGTCTTGCAATGGCCCCTCCCACACTGACGGCAGCGATGTTACCCAGAGTGTAACGAAGGTGTCACGCGCTGGGTAGGAGCTTGGTTTCTGGCGTTCCCAAGGGAGGCAACTCTGCAACTATCGGCGCCTCAGACGACTTGGCCACCCATGCCCCCAGAAAACATGGGACACGAAAGAGGGTGGCAACCACCTCTCTACTGAATCCCGAATACCATCAAAGTTTTCACTGCTCACCCCTGAATCACGAAACTCACAAGTACAACTCAGAATTCACTCTACACAGGCAGAATGTCAATCACAGACGAAAAACAAAATACGTTTAGAACACGTCTATAGGTCATATGAAAAGGTGCGACTCGAAGTTAAATTACTGATAAAAAAATAGAAAAAAATAAACAAATTTATTACGCACGCTAATATTGTTTTTTAATTGTTGAACCTGCGTACCAAATACGGCTTTTTTTTTAAGTCCAGCATACCTCAGAGTCCCAAAATACCCTCAAAACAAAACTCCTAGTCCCGGGTTCAAAACGTGAGTTTGTTTTTTACTGCACTTAGTTCCTCCCCTGTAGGGGCGGTCGGGTAGCCTAGCGGTTAAAGCGTTCGCTCGTCACGCCGAAGACCCGGGTTCGATTCCCGACATGGGTACAATGTATGAAGCCCATTTCTGGTGTCCCCCGCCGTGATATTGCTGGAATATTGCTAAAAGCGGCGTAAAAACATACTCACTCACTCACTCCTCCCCTGTAATGTGGCTGTCCCCTCACTGGGGTGTAATGAAGCGGGAACACCAAAAGGCATTAAAAATGTACTTTGTTACAACTAAGACGTCAAGTAAATGCATCGCCAGAATAAAATAAACGAGTGGTTGTTTAAATTGAAACAGAATGTTAATGCTAGGCATTCAGTTTGAAAGGTCCCACACTCATATCGCACATGTTTAACGACACGATACCTGCACGAACACTGTGAAGAAGATGACGACAAGAGTGGCAGTTTCAAACATGTCCTTCATCCCCGGGGGTAGCGCGTTCTCATTCAGCAGAGCGACGAGGGAGAAGCACACCGCCCCCCGTAGACCACCGTACGCCTGGGCAACAGAGCATTGCGTGAGAGGAGTTTCGTAACAACAAACACATGGCATCTACCGCAAACGCCTCAATCGGAATAATGTTAGCAACGAAGCCTGTTATACTTAAATCGTTATAAATATGGACACTGTAAAGCTATGACCCTGGCTATAAATCATTAAAGGAGTGAATGAATATATCTGGAATTCGAACCCACGAGCATCGGTTTCTAGCACCACTAAAAGACGTAACCCTGCACATAACATTGCGTCACCACAGACTACTGGCCATGTATGGAGTGCTTGGGGCCTAAGTTAACGTGGTCCCCATGGGGAATCCCGAGTATCATGTAAATATCATTGTTCACAGCACAATCAAGAACTGAGGTTTATGTAGGTTCTCTGTACAATCATGAACTGAGGTTTATGTAGGTTCTGTGTACAATCATGAACTGAGGCTTATGTAGGTTCTCTGTACAATAATGAACTGAGGATTATGTAGGTTCTACGTGCAATCATGAACTGAGGTTTATGTAGGTTCTACGTACAATCATGAACTGAGGCTTGTGTAGGTTCTACGTACAATCATGAACTGATGATTATGTAGGTTCTACGTACAATCATGAACTGAGGCTTATGTAGGTTCTACGTGCAATCATGAACTGAGGCTTATGTAGGTTCTACGTGCAATCATGAACTGAGGCTTATGTAGGTTCTACGTACAATCATGAACTGAGGATTATGTAGGTTCTACGTGCAATCATGAACTGAGGCTTGTGTAGGGTCTACGTACAATCATGAACTGAGGCTTATGTAGGTTCGACGTACAATCATGAACTGAAGCTTATGTAGGTTCTACGTACAATCATGAACTGAGGCTAATGTAGGTTATACATGCAATCCTGAACTGAGGTATATGTAGGTTCTCTGTACAATCCTGAACTGAGGTTTATGTAGGTTCTCTGTACAATCATGAACTGAGGTTTATGTAGGTTCTCTGTTCAATCATGAACTGAGGTTTATGTAGGTTCTCTGTTCAATCATGAACTGAGGCTTATGTAGGTCCTCTGTACAATCATGAACTGAGGCTTATGTAGGTTCTCTGTACAATCATGAACTGAGGTTTATGTAGGTTCTCTGTACAATCATGAACTGAGGCTTATGTAGGTTCTCTGTACAATCATGAACTGAGGCTTATGTAGGTTCTCTGTACAATCATGATTTGAGGTTAATGTAGGTTCTCTGTACAATCATGAACTGAGGTTAATGTAGGTTCTCTGTACAATCATGAACTGAGGTTAATGTAGGTTCTACGTACTATCATGAACTGAGGTTTATGTAGGTTCTCTGTACAATCATGAACTGAGGTTAATGTAGGTTCTCAGTTCAATCATGAACTGAGGCTTATGTAGGTTCTACGTACAATCATGAGCTGAGGCTTATGAAGGTTCTACGTGCAATCATAAACTGAGGTTTATGTAGGTTCTACGTACATTCATGAACTGAGGATTATGTAGGTTCTACGTAAAATCATGAACTGAGGTTTATGTAGGTTCTGCGTACAATCATGAACTTAGGCTTATGTAGGTTCTACGTACAATCATGAACTGAGGATTATGTAAGTTCTACGTACAATCATGAACTGTTCGTCATAACCGATCCTCCTGGTTCTGTCACTGTCCAGCTTGTTGATCAGGAAGGTCAAGAAGAACGTGACTGGAGAAATACACAAATACGACAGACTTAAACAGTGTACAGTTTGTTTGTTTGTTTGTTGTTTACCGCCGCACTCAGAAATAGTCCTGCTATATGACGGCGGTCTGTAAATAATTGAGTTTAGACAAGACAATCCAGTGATTGACTTTATGAGCATCGACCTACTCAATTGGGATACGATGACGTGCATCAACCAAGTCAGCGAGCCTGACCACCCGAATGGCAGTCTCCTCTTACGACAAGCATAGTCGCCTCGAACGGCAAGCAAGGGTTTCTGTAGACCTATTCTGTATCTATTCTGACTCAGCTTGTTTTTATCCTTGGATGTGTGTATCGTATTTTTTTTTATTCATTCGTACATCAGTTAGGCGTGTAACTAGATTATCCAGTCAGTAAGTGGGTGTTGTTTTACGTCGCTTGAAGCAAAATTCCAGCAAAATCACGATGTATAGAAATGGTAATAAAATAGATTGTGGATGGACCGTACCGAACCATCTAGGTGGGTACGACTGTAGGTCTCTACTCACTGAGGAATCTATACAGCAGGCAGAAGAAGACTGTCCAGAGCACGAAGCCCGTGTGCCACATGTGGTTCTTCTTCCTGACCATGGCCAGACCGAGGAAGAGGAAGATGATGATTTCATTGGCGGTGCTGATGGAGAAGAAAGAATGAGGCATTGAGAATATACATGAGTGAATGAGTTGGGTTTGACGCCGCTTTGAACATTATTCCATTTATATCACGGCGTGTTAGCGGAAGGAAAGCTCGACACATGTCTCAGACGTTCCCCAATTTTTGGTGAAACCCATGAGCGTGGTGCTGACAAACCTAGAAACATTATCGGGGCGAACCGGGATTCAAACCCACGGTTACTGGCGTTTCTGAAGGACGCCACTCTGCACAGCGAGTTGCGGTGACTCAGACGTCTGGGCTACCCGTGCCCCCAAGCACGAACATGAACTCACCATGTGGACAGCAGTTAAGTGTCGTTAGGGTATCTGATTGCTAATTGAGTATGATACAAAAATTCCAGACCGCCTCCGTGGTCCAGTGGTAGAGCATCCGCCCAGAGAGCGGAAGGTCCGGGGTTCGATTCCCGGCTGCGTTATACCAAAAGACGTTAAAAGATGGTACTTCTTGTTGTCTGGCGCTTGGCATTAAGAGGCTAAAACAAGGACTGGTGGGCTCGGTGTCAGTATATTGTGTCTGAGTGGGGTATTCATGTTAAACTGAGGCATGGTATCTCAGTGGGCTAACACTATAAATCGGCATCAGTCTGGACAGCCACACACACACACACATAAGTGCATGCACGTCGCTATATAAGTGCAATAAAATTGGACGCGACGTTAAACCCCATTTCACCTCAACTCTCAATCATGAATGTAAAGGAAGTTGAGAAAAATACGTTCGAACGGAAGTGTCACACTTACACGGAAGCAAACATGTTCATAGGTTACAAGAAGTCAGTTCTCTTGTTACAGGACCCCCATCCTTCTAAAGCATCTTGACAAAGTGAGTGAGTGAGTTGGGTTTAACGCCGCTTTCAACAATATTCCAGTTACGTCGCGGCGTATCTTGACAAAGACGTATGCATCCGGAATTGTGGTACATGTACTATGAGTCTGTGGCCTCTCAGCATCAAGAACTAAAGAACACGGAATGTTCCTGAAGACAGCGAAACTATCAGATCCTTCACTGATGTATCTGTATCGTGTACCACACGCTGTGTGAGTATTGTTTTACGCCGCTTTTAGCAATTTGTCGGCAATATCACGGCGGGAGAATTGGGCTTGACACATTGCAACCAGTGACCCACGCAGACACGTGCACTTTCGTAATTGCTTAGAGTGAGTGAGTATGGTATTACGCCGTTTTTGGCAATATTCCAGCAATATCACGGAAATTGGCTTCACACATTGTACCCATGTCGGGAAAAGAACCCGGGTCTTCGGCGTGACGAGCAAACGCTTTAACCACTAGGCTACCCGACCGTCCCCGTAATTGCTTAGAGCGGCTTTTATATTGATCAGGGTACCCTTATACAAAACAACCTCAGCGCTACGACTGTCGTAAGACTATGTTAAGGTATGGTTAAGGTGAGTTACGATCGCCTTAGCTCTAAGATCGCTCTGTACAACGAACCCTGGAACATCCTACAAAAAACACATGTTTCACTGACTCCTTTCCCGTTATTGGTGTAATTTGGAAATTTAATTATCCATTCATTATCTACCCTTGCACAATAGTCCGGATAAACGGGTTTTCCCGTCTTTTATATTCTTTCGAGTTCCTGACCTGATGACCTTGGTGAAGTATGTGACGGTGGTCCTGGACTTGTCGCTGATGTTGTGGAAGGCGTACTGGACCTGGACGAGGCCGCAGCCGATGATGCTGATGATACCGGAGAACTCAAACAGCTCCGCCAGCAGGAAGCCCAGGTATGCCATGGTGTACACGATTAGGGGCTGGGCGACTGGAATAGCATCGTGTGAGTGAGTGAGTGAGTGAGTGAGTGAGTGGGTGGGTGGGTGGCTGAGTGAGTGGGTAGGTGGGTCAGTTAGAGAGTGAGTGAGTGGATGGGTGGGTGGGTGAGTGAGTTGGTAGGTGGGTGAGTTAGAGAGTGAGTGAGTTGGTGGATGGGTGGCTGAGTGAGTGGGTAGGTGGGTGAGTTAGAGAGTTAGTGAGTGGGTGGGTGGGTTGGTGTGTCGGTGGATGGTCGGATGATTTGTGAGGAATTCGGAAAGTGACACCGGGTGTTACTGATGAACGCTGTAAGCCAAGACATGGACCTTCGATACTGAGTGTATATGAGTCGAACCAACGACTAGAGGAACCTGGCAATCAAGTATATCAAAGATTTCTGTTTGTGTTAGATTGTGTCAGTGTGCGTACATTATATCGTAACTCAGGTAACATGTCCTAGTGATCATTCATTACATCATTCCCAATGTGCTTTAGCCGTAAAGGAAGGAAAATGACAAGTTAATCAAGTTAATCAATTAGGCAAAACTGACAAATACTGTTTTCAAAGGGGAGTCTGAAATTTTTTTTGTTAAAGAAGGTAATTGGTTTTACTCTCTCTTATTTGCTTACTTTTCACGTGTCTGGTGTATTTCGTCAAGACTGCTGTCACGACCCCTGCGAGAACACCCAGAGCAAGGCCGCCAAAACACACCACAAAAAACTTCAGGATACCAAGTCCAATCTGTGTGGAGAACGCAGGCGCGAATAAGGGAAGAGATCATATGTTTCACATACATTTGCACGAAACATTCAGACCAAAAAGTAAGGATACCCTTCCATGAACTGTATTTGTATACGCTTATATCTAGTACACTAACTTACATCACAGTGTGATCGTATCGTGTCGCCACGAGTAGTTATATATGCATGTGTGAGTATGTGTGTGTGTGAGTGTGTGTGTGTGTGTGTGTGTGTGTGTGTGTGTGTGTGTGTGTGTGTGTGTGTGTTGTAATATATTGCCTCACTGAAGGCTGTTATTAGACGTTTTATCCGATTAACAAAAACCGTGGTACTAAGACCGCTTTGTGGAACGAACTGTATGTTGCTGTGTGAATGTATGACCTGATACAGCAGTAGTCTTACCTGTTCTCCGTTCACAACTTGACCTGATGAGACGAGGTCGTTGTATGTCTGCATGACCTGATACAGCAGTAGTCCTACCTGTTCTCCGTTCACAACTTGACCTGATGAGACGAGGTCGTTGTATGTCTGCATGACCTGATACAGCAGTAGTCCTACCTGTTCTCCGTTCACAACTTGACCTGATGAGACGAGGTCGTTGTATGTCTGCATGACCTGATACTGCGGTAGTCTTACCTGTTCTCCGTTCACAACTTGACCTGATGAGACGAGGTCGTTGTATGTCTGCATGACCTGATACTGCGGTAGTCTTACCTGTTTTCCGTTCACATCTTGACCTGATGAGACGAGGTCGTTGTATGTCTGCATGACCTGATACTGCGGTAGTCTTACCTGTTCTCCGTTCACATCTTGACCCGATGAGACGAGGTCGTTGTATGTCTGCATGACCTGATACAGCAGTAGTCTTACCTGTTCCCCGTCCACACCTTGACCTGATGAGACGAGATTGTTGTATGTCTGCATGACCTGATACAACAGTAGTCTTACCTGTTCCCCGTCCACACCTTGACCTGATGAGACGAGATTGTTGTATGTCTGCATGACCTGATACAGCAGTAGTCTTACCTGTTCCCCGTCCACACCTTGACCTGATGAGACGAGATTGTTGTATGTCTGCATGACCTGATACAGCAGTAGTCTTACCTGTTCGCCGTCCACACCTTGACCTGATGAGACGAGATTGTTGTATGTCTGCATGACCTGATACAGCAGTAGTCTTACCTGTTCCCCGTCCACACCTTGACCTGATGAGACGAGATTGTTGTATGTCTGCATGACCTGATACAGCAGTAGTCTTACCTGTTCCCCGTCCACACCTTGACCTGATGAGACGAGATTGTTGTATGTCTGCATGACCTGATACAGCAGTAGTCTTACCTGTTCCCCGTCCACACCTTGACCTGATGAGACGAGATTGTTGTATGTCTGCATGACCTGATACAACACCACAGTCACGCCATCTGTGTACGACAGACGTTACACATTATGGTAATACATACATGGTAAAGTACTCACGGAAATGAAAAAAACCCTGTTTTTTCGATCTCAGAGTTAAAATAAATGCAGTAAATATACAAAATATATAAATATTCAAACAACTCAATTAGTACGAATTGGGCCTTGGCACAAATACAGCGTATCAAAGGTTTTTATGTAAAAGTGTGTAAAAATATGAACAAAATATTGTGAAACTGAACATAACCTTGACGACAGGTGAAAACAGGTGCTTGAAACCCACGTGCATGTAATTTGTCAGTGGTTAGTGATTTGTGAGTGGCATTGTGGGATAGTGAATCATCGTCAAAATGTCAGAACGTAAAAGTAACATATTCCCTTCTCAAACAACTTACATGTCATTATTATTATGTACATAAACATAGCTGTTATTTTTGTTGTTGTTTTGATAACTTTTTTCCAGGCTAATTTGCATAATGCCCATAGCCTGTTTCTTCCATGTCAATTTGGACTTAGTTTTATTTTTAAATGTTGAAAGTGCCTACAAATTACCTCCTGTAAAGTACATTTTGTATTGAGCTGAGATAAAACTAGCAAATCCAGACTAGTACGTTTCCAGTTGTTTTGTTATTTCGTATTTACATCTACGTAATGCTTTCAGTAGTCTTCCCCTGTCTATTAAACAGTGTATAAAATTTTAAAATCAGTCAGACAACCGGACTGGCAACATTGCAAACTTACCAAACCAGATAAAATGTTGCCAGTCCAGAATTTCCTAGACTAACGAACACAAGTAACAAAAGGGTAAAAATAAGTGAGTGAATATGGTTTTACGCCGCTTTTAGCAATATTCCAGCAATATCACAGCGGGGAACACCAGAAATGGGCTTCACATATTGTACCCATGTCGGGAATCGAACCTGGATCTTCGGCGTGACGAGTGAACGCTTTGACCACTGGGCTACCCTCACCGCCCCGGTTAAAATAAGAATATCGGTGGTACTGTTAAATGTTAGTTCTCAGAAAATAACAATAAACTGGATTGTCATCTCATTAACTTTAACTCCCGACCATCGGGCGTGCAACTTTTCAAAACTGACCGTCCGATAAAAGAAAACCCAGGCCGTTTCGAACTGTCGGGCAGGCGGGTATTTTAAACACTGCAGAGGATGAATTCTATGACATATGTTCATACAGTGTATAAATTCCCCTTAGGAGAGTCACAGGTATACATTATGAGGAATCAACTTTGCATTTTAAGTGTTAAATATACCACTCAAACAAGTTAAGGATTCTTTCATATTACCACAGCCTGTGAAGATCCGGGGTAGAATAGGTCTTCAGCAACCCATGCTTGGCGTAAAAGGCGACTATGCTTGTCGTAACAGGCGACTAACGGGATCGTGTGGTCAGGCTCTCTGATTTGGTTGATGCATGTCACCGTATCCAAATAATGCAGATCGATGCTCATGATGTCAATCACCGAGTGTCTGGTCCAGACTCGATTATTTACAGACCGCAATCATATCGCTGGAATATTGCTGAGTGCAGCGTCAAACAACACACATCCAAACAAACAAACAATCAAACATAGTAACACGTTTAGCAATACTATAAATATGAAAGAATGAAGTGGTCATTAACTTTTTTTTGTAATATGTTTATAATCGGTATTTAAACACTCGAGGATTATCTAAATCTACCAGCAGACAACACATAACGCCGGGGGACATGAAGACTTGGTCTTACCGTTCAGCAGAGATTCTCCGAATACCAGGAAATACAAAACATTGTTAACACCTATTTCCTGGAACACAGCCAGTACCTGAAACACAAGCATTTGTATTCGATGTCAGTTTTAGCAATGAAATTCAAGTTTTGAAGTGACAAGCATATTTAAAATTCGCTGGGTCCATTAGACGAGCTCAGTCTATGTCGAAGCTCAAACATATTATCTGGATCATCCGAATATTAGTCATCATCCGATTTAGTCAAAAACAATATACGTAATGCCGAACTGCGTATGTTTGGACGTAGTATAAATTGCCCTCTGGGCTAAATGGCGGTTTTAAAAAGGCTGATTTAGAGACTATGTTTAAATGAGATCCGAGATCTGTGAGCACATAATCGTAGACATTATGATGAGGTGACATAAATCACATCATAATTACTTCTACCTACCGCCACAGGGTCGACAGCGACGATGAGTGCGGCGAAGATGAGGATCTGTATGAGAGTGAACTCGAAGGGGAAAACCCCCATGGCCCCGCTGATGGCTAGGCCGTATAGAGTGAGACCTGTAGACATTCGAGGAGGTACAAGTCAGAGTGAGTGAGTATGGTTTTACACCGCTTTTAGCAACGTTCCAGCAATATAACAGCGGGGGATATCAGGAATGGGCTTCACACATTGTACCCATGTGGTTAATCGAAACCGGGTCTTCGGCGTGATTCGCGAACGCATAAACCAGTTGGCAACACCCTAAAATTCAGAGATCTTCACGATTTGCAGGGAATTGCCAGCGTTTAACCAGTGATGAGAGCAGTATCAACTCGTCTTGACCGGTTAGAAACACTTGCCTGTTTTTGTCAGTAAATGATTTCGAATATGCCATTTAAGGATGACCTAAATCAAGTACTGTCATTGTTTAGGGTACGACTCCGAGAGTTCTCACCACATCGGTTATAATACGTTTTTGTTTTCAGCAATATTCCAGCTAATTTATATGACGTCTTTCTGTAAAATAATCGAGTCTGGCCCAGAGAGCCCAGTGATAGACGCAATTGGAATACGATGACATGCATCAACCAAATCAGCGAGCTTGTCCACTCGATCCCGTTAGTCGCCTCTCACGACAAGCATAGTCGCCTTTTACGACAAGCATGGTTCTAACACGGATGGCGGGTGTATCCTAATGTTGCATCTGAGTCGAATTTTTTCACGCGGATAAAATGAAATTGCTAAACAAATACAGAAAGTAGAATTCGCCGAAACATTATGAGATATTCTATGTGGCAGGTTCGTGAAACTACTCACCTAGGGTAAAGAAGGCGCATATGGTACCCTGAAACACAAGTGTGTGAGTGAGTTTTACGTCGGAACACTATATCTAATCAGTGAGCAGCAGCGTAAGGTATTACAACCCTCGCCTGGTGACACGACGCACCAGGTCTGCTCAGGTGGTCAACAAGTCCAGTTCTGCTCACGCTCAGCAGCCATCTTGTCCGAATGACGTCACTTCACTATCATAGCATCACATTAAGTAAACCAAATGGTACTGAAATGACACAGTGTTCCCAGTATCAAAAGCGTATCAATCTTGAACGCCCCGTTATACCTCATATCACTGCACCTCACCTCACCCAGTATCAACGATACGTGTGACTTTAAGTCCAGCAACTGGCACGGAAATGATACCCAGGTACCCAGTATCAACGATACGTATGAAAACACGTCATGTTGTAAAACGTCATCATGCAAACTTATTAGATGTTGCATAACTTTGAAGAACTCACAATCACAGCAAAGAGGAGGACAGATCCGATGTTGTCAGCAAACGTCCTGTCATGGAGGCTGAAGGATGATTCCAAGATGATTCTGAAAACACATATTGAAAAAACCGTAAGCAATTTCCATCCTCAAGAATGCACAGTGCCAATGGGCAAGTAGTGTTCTGTATTATTCGTCTGTAGTGAGCTGCAGTTAGATGTATTGGCCTGTATCGTGCAGTAATTATCTGTTTCGTGCAGCATTGTCTGAGCATTGTGGTGAGTTCTGTATACTTTAATGTGCTGTAGTGAGCTCTGTTTGCTTTAATGTGCTGTTGTGAGCTATGTATACTTCAATGTGCGGTACTGAGCTCTGTATACTTTAATGTGCTGAAGTGAGTTCTGTATACTTGAATGTGTTGTAGTGAGTTCTGTATACTTCAATGTGCTGTAGTGAGCTATGTATACTTTAATGTGCTGTAGTGAGTTATGTATACTTTAATGTGCTGTAGTGAGCTCTGTATACTTTAATGTGCTGTAGTGAGCTCTGTATACTTTAATGTGCTGTAGTGAGTTCTGTATACTTTAATGTGCTGTAGTGAGTTCTGTATACTTTAATGTGCTGTAGTGAGCTCTGTATGCTTTAATGTGCTGTAGTGAGCTCTGTATACTTTAATGTGCTGTAGTGAGCTCTATTTGCTTTAATGTGCTGTTGTGAGCTCTGTATACTTCAATGTGCGGTACTGAGCTATGTATGCTTTACTGTGCTGTAGTGAGTTCTGTATACTTTAATGTGCTGTATTGAGTTCTGTATACTTTAATGTGCTGTAGTGAGTTCTGTATACTTTAATGTGCTGTAGTGAGCTCTGTATACTTTAATGTGCTGTAGTGAGTTCTGTATTCTTTAATGTGCTGTAGTGAGCTCTGTATACTTTAATGTGTTGTAGTGAGCTCTGTATACTTTAATGTGCTGTAGTGAGCTCTGTATACTTTAATGTGCTGTAGTGAGTTCTGTATACTTTAATGTGCTGTAGTGAGTTCTGTATACTTTAATGTGCTGTAGTGAGCTCTGTATGCTTTAATGTGCTGTAGTGAGCTCTGTATACTTTAATGTGCTGTAGTGAGCTCTGTATACTTTAATGTGCTGTAGTGAGTTCTGTATACTTTAATGTGCTGTTGTGAGCTATGTATAATTTAATGTGCTGTAGTTAGTTCTGTATACTTCAATGTGCTGAAGTGAGTTCTGTATACTTTAATGTGACGTAGTGAGTTCTGTATACTTTAATGTGCTGTAGTGAGTTCTGTATACTTCAATGTGCGGTACTGAGTTCTGTATACTTTAATGTGCTGTAGTGAGCTCTGTATACTTTAATGTGCTGTAGTGAGCTCTGTATATTTTAATGTGCTGTAGTGAGTTCTGTATATTTTAATGTGCTGTAGTGAGCTCTGTATACTTTAATGTGCTGTAGTGAGCTCTGTATACTTTAATGTGCGGTACTGAGCTCTGTATACTTTAATGTGCGGTAGTGAGTTCTGTATACTTTAATGTGCTGTAGTGTGTTCTGTATGCTTTAATGTGATGTAGTGAGCTCTGTATGCTTTAATGTGCTGTAGTGAGCTATATATGCTTTAATGTGCTGTTGTGGGATATGTGTGCTTTAATGTGCTGTTGTGAGCTGTGTGTGCTTTTATGTGTTGTAGTGATCTCTGTATACTTTAATTTGCTGTTGTGAGCTATGTATGCTTTAATGTGCTGTAGTGAGCTCTGTATGCTTTAATGTGCTGTTGTGAGCTCTGTATGCTTTAATGTGCTATAGTGAGACGATACTCACGGAGGAAGAAGATACTCACGGAAGAAGGTACTCACGGAGGAAGAAGATGCTTACGGAGAAAGAAGATACACACGGAGGAAGAAGAAGGTACTCATGGAGGAAGAAGGTACTCACAGAGGAAGATACTCATGGAGGAAGAAGATACTCAATGAGGAAGAAGGTACTCACGGAGAAGAAGGTAATCATGGAAGAAAAAGGTACTCACGGTGGAAGAAGGTACTCATGGAGGAAGAAGGTACTCACGGAGGAAGACGGTAATCATGGAGGAAGAAGGTACTCACGGAGGAAGAAGGTTATCATGGAGGAAGATACTCATGGAGGAAGAAGGTACTCACGGAGGAAGAAGGTAATCATGGAGGAAGATACTCATGGAGGAAGAAGGTACTCACGGAAGAAGAAGGTACTCACGGAAGAAGAAGATACTCACGGAGGAAGAAGGTACTCACGGAGGAAGAAGATACTCCCCGAGGAAGAAGGTACTCACGGAGGAAGAAGGTACTCACGGAGGAAGAGGAAGAAGATACTCACAGAGGAAGATGGTACTCACAGAGGAGGAAGGTACTCACGGAGGAACAAGATACTCACGGAGGAGGAAGATACTCGCGGAGGAGGCACGGGGGAAGAAGATACTCACGGAGGAAGAAGATACTCACAGGGGAAGAAGATACTCACGGAGGAGGGAGGTACTCTCGGAGGAAGAAGATACTCACGGGGGAAGAAGATACTCGCGGAGGATGAGGAAGGAGATACTCATGGAGGAAGATGTTACTCACGGAAGAAGGTACTAACGGAGGAAGAATATATTCACGGAGGAAAGAGGTACTCACGGAGCGAGATGGTAGTCATGGAGGAAGAAGATACTCACGTGGAAGAAGATACTCAGGGAGGAAGAAGATACTCACAGAGGAGGAAGGTACTCAGGGAGGAAGAAGATACTCACGGAGGAAGAAGATACTCACGGGGGAAGAAGATACTCACGGAGGAGGGAGGTACTCACGGAGGAGGAAGGTACTCATGGGGGAAGAAGATACTCACGGAGGAAGAAGATACTCACGGAGGAAGAAGATACTCACGGGGGAAGAAGATACTCACGGAGGAGGAAGGTACTCAGGTAGGAAGAAGATACTCACGGGGGAAGAAGATACTCGCGGAGGAAGAAGGTACTCACGGAGGAAGAGGAAGAAGATACTCACGGAGGAAGATGGTACTCACGGAAGAAGAAGGTACTCACGGAGGAAGAAGATATTAACGGAGGAAGAAGATATTAACGGAGGAAGAAGATACTCACGGAGGAAGAAGGTACTGGAAGAAATCATGGGGTGAGAAGAACTCCGGCATGTAGACAGCAGCTCCCGAATATCTGGAAGAAATACAGTATAATAATCTAAACGTCAATTGACAAATCTGTACCATGTAACTATTAAACCATGTTCCGGTATCGAGTCGTGCATGCACTTGTAACAACGACGCTTAACACGGCAGCTGGGAATACACATCGCCCATATGAACATGAACTCGAGGTGTATGATTAGACTAACAATAAGTCCAGAAATAAAGTTATCTTATTTAAAATATATATCTACAAAATATAAAAGTTAAATCGAAATGTAGCCGAGAACAATGCTTAATTTCCAAAAGATGAGAAGACCTATACTTGCCAAATCATTCCAGACTTGAGACGGATTCGTTTTTTTAATATATACTCTTGGCGACAGACTATTGTATAATCGATGCATCGAAATTGCCCATGGTCCGACGGCAGTTATAAAGCTATCGACAGAATCGAAAGACTAATAAAATGAAAATAAATCTGTTAATCATTTATTTATCTATTCGTTTGTATGCAAAACACACCTTGTTTGAATCACATGTATCCATTCAGAATATGTTCACATACTTGCTGATGTCGAAATTGTGCGACTAAGTCTAATCTATGGGAACAGTCGGTGTCATCACTGACTTTCAGTGGTCCATTCACATAATTTTAACCTCCAGTTAACCTTTTACGCCAATGGAATCTGCAAAGATGACTTCGACTACAGCCCGTAAATGACACAGAAATATGTTATGCACTCTCATACCTTTCTATGTTCTGGAAGAATTACAAACAGGGCATGCTTGCCGTAACTAACGGGACCGGGTGGTCAGACTCGCTGACTTGGTTGATGCATGTCATCGTATCCCAATTGCGTGTATCGATGCTCATGTTGCCAATCACTGAACTGTCTGGTCCAGACTAGATTATTTATAGACCGCCGTCATATAGCTGGAATATTGTTGAGTGCGGCGTCAAACAACAAACAAACACAGTTCATACCCAAGAATACATGGGACCTAACTCTTCCACAACGATATAAACCCAATAAAGCGTTGTAAAATAGTATCTTGATGTCATCAGCGATAACTCCTGCAGTACTAATTGAGGTTAATTAGCAAGGGTTAATTAGTGTTTATTTATAGCACGACTCTCGTGCTGTACGTTCTACGTTCGAACCCACGTGTAGATACATTTCGTGTAAATATTTTACATTTCTGTTTGTTTTAAAAACTAAAAGAACATTGTTTTGGATTAAGTTCATGAATGTATAATTTGGTATGTCATACTTTATTATCGTCGTTTTATATTGATGTAATCGGAATGTAATCATTTGAAGTGTATTTTGCGCTATTACCTGTTGTTAAAAAGTGCCACAAGAGGCGATATAGTTATGCATGAAATAATTATACAAGCACCGAGTCGAAACATCAGCTAACAAACTAAATAAACAAAGTTTTGAATTGAGGAAAACTATTTATTTACGTGAAGACATGAATAATATAATGCATTGTGCTAATCTTTAACAAAAGGATGTCACATGTCCTAAACACATAAACAGGTCTGCAAACATCAGTTCAGTTTGCTGGCCATCTCCATAAGTTTTGCCCTTGAAGTGGACTTCGTTGACACATCATGAGTTTGCAAAAAGTCACGGAGCCCCGAAACTGAAAGTTCACTCAAATTGACATCTTGAGTTGGTTGAGATGTAATTTCTTTAGTGATGTTTGACCTTTTACCCTGTCTCACTTCATTTATCGTATCTTCCCAATACACAAGCTTCCTTTTGGTGTATTGGCGCTTGACTCGATTTAAATCACTATGGTTCTCCATTCGTTTCCTGACTTTCAGTGCCTCAACGGTTGCATCCCATTTATTTGATTTTTGCTGATGTATTTTTTTAATTTCATCATTAGTTTTTTCAAGGGCCTGACAACTGAAGTCACGGATTGAGCCATAGCGGTCAACAAAACCAGGGACATGGTAAACCAAACAGTGAATATATGGCGTTATTCGCATCTTTTGGTACAAATTCATTTTACACCCAATTGAAACGAATAACTGAACCCAGCTTCTCGACAGTTCAAAAACCTCAATTGCTGGGGTACCTGGAGTACAAATTTTGGAATAGGTTTCTGAAAAGTTTTGCCAAAGGTTGATGATGATGCTCTCGGTGTCAGGATTTAATTTGCCTCTAAGCTTTGCAGGTAGATAATTCAAAAGCTTTTTCTTTTCCTGACCCGAGAGACTTGTCCAATTGAGTTTTTTGCTCTCTCTCTCTTCCCAAACAGAAAATGAAACACCACAGGACCTGATACACTGTACTATCTCGTCAACATGTCTTGCCTTCTCTTTCTTTTCAACTAGACACTTATCCATGTCGCATGCCTCCACTATCAAATTCCTTTCTAGCACATCTGTTATCCTAAGTAGTAGATGCAACTCATCTCCAATGTAGTTCTGAACCTCAAGTTTTATAAGCGGGGCATGGAGAGCACCATTGGAACATTTGTCTGCACATTGTGTAATGTCCTCTACTGTACGCCTGAGTTCCCCTGTGTCATAGTAATCCCAGGCCTTAGTCACGTCGTGTCTATCATTCTTATGCACTTTGCACCAGGGACAAGCATAATTGCCAGTAGCGCCACCTAGGCCTAACATTGTTGAAATCATTTTCATGTCTGACGAGAAAAGAATGTCAATGCCTATCTCTCTGCAACCCACTTGGATATGACCCACAGTTACAATATCATTGATGTCATTAAACATTGGATAAAGACAGGATTTTAAACTATGGTAATCTTCTTTACATTGTACAATGGCAAGGGTATTTAAATTTAAAGATGATAATGTCTTGCCAGGCTCGACAATGTGGAATGTAAAGATGACAAAATTAGAAATCCTACTAACTTTGGTGCCATCCCCGCCAATATTAACACACACCTTATCTACGTCAGGATTATCTTTGATATGCTGCGCTACCTTCTTCCTGAGCTCACCCTTAAAGCTAAGCATTGCTCCCGGCACATTACCTGGCACACGTTGAATGACTACAGAAGACGACATCTCATTACGTGCCCCTACCACTGTGTGAGTTCTTGGTAATTCTCTGTAAATTTGGGAAATTTCGTGATATGCTGAGTCGCTTACGCCAAAACGATCCAAAACATTGACAAGGGAGCCCAGCTTTAGCTTTTCAGATTCTGACAAGTTGGAATAATGTTTTGGAGTTGACATCGGTAAACTGACTAAACTGTTTTTTGAACCGCTGGCTGTTGTTGTAGGCGTTAAACCGAATTCCTGAAGAAACGACTGAGTCCTATCAGATTTAGCTTGGTGTAGAGGTGTAGGACCTTGACCAGAGAGCGTGTGCCAAACTTCTTGGCAGTGTGATTCCTGCTCTACTCTATCGCCTAAAAACTCAGTAACTGTAGCATTACCATCCCCTTGAACACACAGTAGCTCACTTGAAAATACAGAAAAACAGTGTTTTTCACCCATAAAAAGTTCCCTTTTTCTGCCAGATTTATATTTAGTTTTCAATTTGGAGGACACTGAGCCACAAACACGTCCAATGTGTGTTTCCATCCTGTCTGTCTGACATAACTGCATGTGCTTTAGTTGAGTATTTACAATGGCTATGTATGATAGATTACCATAGCGACATTTTGCAGTATGGAGCTGTTTCAGAAATTTATGAGTAACAAACAAAGATATAGCAATTTTGTCAGCCCCTTCTAAATGTTTCTTATTCAGAAACGGACTGACCTCAGTGGAAAATGATAAAGAGTCCTTGAATTTCAAATTCTGTGCATACGTTATGTTGTCAGACATTTTGAACAAACAATTTAAGGTTATATACACTGTGGAAAAACTATATACACTATATACAAAAAGCCATAAGTTGTTTTGAGTTCATTTTCCCTTTGAAATGAAGGCTGCATCACAAGCTCTAGTGAGCACAGCAAACTGTACTGTCTCGACGGGGGTCTTCACGAGCAGCACACGACCATCACGGACCACCCAGGTGGAAGTCATCCTCACACGTGGCCAGGCCCTCACAGGAAAGTCCACACACGTTCCCTCTCCGTGGACGTTGACATGATACCACCAGTGGTCAGATAGAAAATGTTTGGTAAAATCAGCTTGCTGGAGATGCACCTTGCCATCAGAATGGTACACAGACCTAAACACGTCCAAAGGACACGGTAAAGAAAACCTGACTTCACGGGTTTTCAGACGTGCCTGGAATCCTCTCTCTACATCTCGAAAAAATGCAGATGTGGACAGGCATCTGGTTGGTGGAAAGACTGAATCAAATGGCCTGGCAGATGATGTTCAGGCTCCCAGGTGCAGTCCTCTATTGAGTAACCCTGCCATTGCACAAGATAGAGTACACCATGAAAACAAAATAAAGAATATTGAACATGTCAATGACTTACATTGATCTAAGCCAATACCATTTCATTTGCAAATACATTTCAATAATCAATTCATACACGATATGTCACGATAAAATGGTACGTAATGTGCACAGATTATATAATCATATTATGATAATAGATGTAATCAAATTACCCATCGTTAAGTCTGGTCTGTAGCGATTGAACTGCACAGACGTTTAAGATATTCCTGGTGTTCCTCCACCAGCAGTTGCGGTCGGTCACACAAAGACCGCCTTCATTACTTATTTCCTTTTTGTATACATTATAGTTATACTAAATCTATGTAAAGGGTTTTGATAAAAATACAGTGTTGATTGGTAATTTTAATCTACCAGAGGATAGTAATCTTAATATCAATGAATCTTTACATGACCTTTTTTTGCCAGACAATGCTTTAATTATATAATGCAAATATTACGAGATATCTGTTACAACTTTACTTACAAGTAAATGTAACTTTTAACCATATTCAGGATTGTGACACAATAAACTATTCTATTCTATTCTTAAGTTCTATTAAAAGCACTACTACTAATATTACTGTATTTCACCAAGGGCGTAAAGAGAAGTCCTTGATTTCACACAAGCCCAAGACTGAAC